AAATGTTAATTAAGGTGTCCACTTACATATTAGGTTAATAATTTTTATTTGTTTAAACAGAATTACTTTGTTACAATATAATATTCTAATACCAAAAAAAAGTACTTACGTAGCGTGAAAATATCTTTTGTGATGTAACTCTTTCAAAAGTACATAAAAATGGTTGGCAGCAGGGGTGTACATGTAGATTTATTAAATACACCTTGTGCGCCACCTAGGAACCAAATCTAGATCCCAACACTCGAAATTTTTGCTCTGTTACAATCGTACACTGTTACAATTGACCCCACTCTCCCCTACCCCATAATAGATTTATTCTAAATCAAGTACTGAAACAATTTATTTTATTTATTGTTCAGAAACATATCTGTGAGCAACACGCCGGACGTTTCGACTGATTCTGTAGCTGAATGGACAGTCACGTTGATGTTATGTGCTGGCCGAAACTTTATGAAAGCAGCCACCGCAGTTAAGGAGTATGCTTATTCTATATTTATAGACATTGAAATGTTGAAAATATTTAATATAAATGTTGAAATTTTTAAATATTGAAATGTTGATGACGATATTTTATATTTAATTAATTGTAATTCAAAAAGTAAGAAATAACTAAGAAATGTTTGTGTTTAAATAATCGGATTCCTACAAGTAACGTCATCGTAGGTAAATCGTGGCAGTTTTTAATTCAGAAGCCAATCAGGTTCGATGCATACGCATGACGTCGAGTACAGATTTCCAGTTAAATCTAATTTAAATTCCACGGTTCACAGCAGTCACATTATTTCTTTTCGAGTTGCAAATTAGCAGACAGATATGTACTGTGGGAAAAATAAGAAAATGGACCATCCTGAATAACTTTTGATCTAATGATCGGATCTTCAAGTTCTAGGACTCTATCTCAATGATTCGAAGGGGTAACCTCAATTATGCTGATTAATTAGTGAAGACGATATTTTAGGTTATGAAATCAGACACAGAAACGTACATTCTGTGAATAGACATAACTTTTTTTAGACGAAATCGGATTTTTTACACCTAAAATATAAGGGTAGCCGCAATCTGGGAAATATGGCTCCACTAGTTTGGTCAGGAGAGCGATCCAAAGTTCGAACCTCTTAATGTTAATTTTACTTTTGGCGTATTTCGCTAGATCTCAAGAACTTTTTAAGGGAATATAAAATAAAAATTTGTACACAATTATAAAATTAATTAATACAACGATAACCCCATGCAAAAAATTAAATTTAATAAACATTATTTTTTATTATTTTATTTAATAGTAATCTAAAAAATTTTCAATTCCAAGATATACAATTTTTTGATATCGTTTTAAAGAATATAATTTTAAATGGTGCAAAATTTGAGTGAAATCTGTCGAGTTGTTCCTGAGAAATTCAAAAAACACGTATTTTAAAATTTTTTATTTTTATTTTGTTTGCAACCCATATGAGCTACCTCAGTGGTATGGACGTTCAAGTCGTCGTTAAAGGCTTACTCCGAATTCAATGCTAAATGCTGGGTGACGTGATAGGTTAAATTGTACTTTCTTCGTCATAACCCCTGCTAATGAAATGTTTCCAGTGGTTTCAGAGTAAAAAATGGCTACACGTTTGTGAAGCATGGTATGAAGATCATGTGATTACTACCACTTGCTCCCTCACATGAATTGTACGCATGCCCCTTATTGTCTTGGGATCAGCACTGAAGAGGAATTCCAGATAATCGCCAATAGACCATAGGGATTTAGTAGGGTATTTACGTTCAAACTCATCAATATAAATTTTTTTTTAAAAGAAGAAAGAAAATATTTCTGCTTGTAGTCTTTGTCAATGTTTGTTTCTGCATTTTCATAGCCGCTAACTTGTACATGTACAAGTTAGCGGCTTAATAATTGCAATTATTAAGGAAAAAATCTTCTCGTACATGTACAAATCTTGATTGTTAATGTCTCAAAAATGTTTGGTCCTTCATAACAAATCACAAATCAATAATAACTGAAACATGTGTGAATAAGTTTTATTAGTTGCAGTTATGTTTTTAAAAGTCAGTGAAGTGGATAAATTTTTAGAAAATTCTTAGTCCTGTAATTGGGTACTTGCACTTCAAGAAGAAGATCACAAGTACCCACTTGTGACCTATGACGTTAGCTCCTGCTGATCATTTTATATCCGTCTTTGAAAAGCCGATCCAATATTTGGGTTTACGACTACTAATGTTCAACTCCATAGCCATGTAATTTTGAGTCAATACAGAAAACAATGAGATTCCTGGATCCCCCAGAGATGTTGATTTGTTATGGGAACATGGAGGACTTTGCGACTTGACAGATTTAACGCGCATCAGTCACCATTTACTACACGGTGAGTCTTAGGCCGGTGGGGTTCGAACCCACGAACTTTTGGACATGGACCCAGTGCCCTAGCAACCAGACTATCCCGGCCATCCAACTGATCGTTTATAAGAAAAATGGCGGGCTAAATTTGAGCTAAGTTTCTCCACATAAGTTAGAATGTTAATTAACGTGAAGCTAGTTAAATACAACACCGTATGGCACATCGAATTTGTTGAAATATAATTCTTTCTCGTCCATATCTTCTATTTTACTTAGATTTATTATTTGCTTATGCATTTCATTGTAACCTTGATATATTTTCGTTCTGTGCATCTGACAACTTCGATGCATAAATAGTTTGTTTGTGTTCTACGAGGTATCGTATCTGCCCTTTTGTTAAGTATGAAATATATAGTGAAGGAGTTGAAATCCTTGGGAAAGAATCTCTGTGTAAGAATATAGAACATGTCACTTAAGAGAATTGATACTTGACGGGTTTGACTTACTCGAAATAGAATGGAAAGAACAGTTGTCAACGTAAGCAAATGCCACGTTTACCCACATCACTTGCAGGTATTCCATTATTGTTTCAACATTCCGTTGTAAAATATTTCCCAATGACATAAAAAAATTAGAACCCATACATTTTATTTAATTTCAAGAATTACAGAAGAATCTTAGCATCGTGAATAGTACAATTCTATCATATCATTTTTGCTTTAGTGGAGAATGGATATACTCATGGAGTCCGTTGTGGTTATGTGGTCAAGGCTTACAAGACTCTGTTGTTGGGATAATCGGAATGGGAAGAATAGGTAACAATAAATTTCTAATTTCCCTTGCAACCAACAACTGTATATACACCGAAGAGCCATTACATTATGACCACCCTGCTATTAACATGTAGGACCACCTTTAGCCCTCAAAACTGCTAGCACCATCCGTGGCATTGATTCCACCAGGTGCTGATAGGTAGTCTGAGGTATCTGGTACCAAGCACTCACCAACTGGTCCTGCAATTCCATCACATTGCGAGGGGGTAGCGTGGCAGAACGAATTTGGTTTTCCAAGTAGGACCACAAATGCTCTATTGGATTAAGGTCAGGTGAATTTGGGGGCCAAGACATGACTTGAAAGTTACTGGAATGTTCCTTCGACGATTCGACCCTTATGACATGGTGCATTATCCTGTTGGTAAACAAAATCCCCCGCAGTAAAAACTGTTGCCATGAATAGGCGAACCTGGTCTGCAACTATGTCCAAGTAGATTACAGAAGTCAGGGATTATTCTGAGAGGATTATGGGTCCTAATGTGCCCCATGAAATCATTGTTCCTGGGCGAGAAACCATGAATACCTGGGCGAGCTCATTGTTATAGATGGTGGGTGGTCATAATGTAATGGCTCTTCGGTGTATATGCATATTTTACTGTCTTTTAAGCGACTAACCATTTGGAAACAACACTTAAAAAAATCTGATAGTAATGGAAATGTAAGCACTAGTTTCATTAGCAATTTTTCATTCTAAAATTAAAATTAATTAAAATTTTATGCAGGAGGATTCTATTTATATTATTATTCCTTAATTTCAATGCACAAATTGTTGTTTCGCTTTTTCCAAAATACACTAAAAAGTATCTCTCAAGTAACGTTAGTAAATAATAAATTTAATTCTTGCATGAATATAATATTTTACAGAGGTTTGGCACTCCATAACTTATCATACACAACAAACTTTTGTCCTAAATCTTTCCACAATTTAAATAATTCCTTTAGAAGAAATTAGCACCATTCCACACAACCGTGTCATTTTATTAGTAAGTTTTTCAAAATTTCTGATCCAATGTTATTCCAATTGTATTGAATCACCTTCCATAGAGAATTTTGGCGTGTAGCAACTCTGATGCGCGTGTCTAAATGATTCACCTGTATTTTGGAGCGATTAAAATTTTACAATTTAAAATGATGTGTTTACTCTCTTTTTTCTTCACAACATTATTACCGAAATAAATGGAATAAAAAAATATATAAAATTTGAAAAATATTCATTGATTCCAAATATTTTAATTTAATTGGGAAAATCTCGCCAAATATGCGATTTCTTATTAAGTTTAACAAATTGTTAAATATTTAGGCATTTTGAACGTTTTGAAGCCCAGATAATTGGGTATTATATGAAAAAAACACAACTTCTTCGATTTAGTAGGAACAACATATGACGCAATGCTAAACAAATGGAATTTAGTTGTTGTTTATTTAGTTATTGTTATTAGTAGTTGTTGTTATTTGTTTTAGTTGTTTTTGTTTATTTAGTTGTTTTTGTTTATTTAGTTGTATTTAGTTTCAATAACTTTTCTTTATAATGCAATAAAATCTGGCGAGCAGCTATTTAAACGATCGAACACTTCGTTTGTTTATTTGTGGCTTGAAGTTAGGTTCGCAGAAAACGCCGTTCATGGGTTAAATTTAGTAGGAACAACACAACCTGTGACGTAGGCTATATTATACCCAATTGCTAACGGTAGGATGGTATGAATACAGTTTGAAATTAGAACTTGAAGACACTCAGTTTTATTTATTTAATTTTATTCATCTACTTAATTAGTTTCATTTATTTATTTATTTTTATTTTTTTGGTGAAAGAGTTTTAACAAACACTCTCAAAACGATCTTCACTTTCAGAAAAGAAAGCTTGTTATGTTTACATAATTAAATTATTGTAATGTAATTATGAAAGTTTGCGAGGATTTCAAACTTGAAATTATTTTTGCATTTAAAGCTAATTTTTTTGAATAATTTTTTTTTCTATTTATAGTCTATTTTTGTTGAAATGTATAACCTCGAAAACGTTATATGTAATGGAGGGTCGCGTCATGGTTGCAACATACTTCTAGAGGAGTTAAGGCACATCATCAAATTGGAATTGTATAGGAAACTATGCCCGGAAATGTAAGAGTCTAGGGACGCTTCCCTATTATGACCTGATCTATTGCATGCGAAGAAGCAGTTCATAATAGGAAAGTACCCCTAATGGCGTATGATGACATTTTCAGCCATGGTTCATATGCAATTCTAATCCTGATGATGTGTCCTAACTCCCCTAGAAAAATGTCATAAAACAAAATGGTAAAACTGCTGCTTGGAAAGAGAAATCGATTGCAGATTTAAAACCAGCGATTCGAAATCATCTAAGATCTGTTGAAAAATCTCATGCAACAGATAAAGAAATGTTCCCCTGTGTAATATTGAGCTTTTTAGAACAATATTTTTGGCACAAATAAAATCGACATTCTAAATTTTTTTTAACAATAATAAATAACGTATATGTAGATATATAAGGATGATGAAAGAAATTTCTAATGTAGTGCAAAAGTAGTGCTGTATCCGGTTTTGATAAAAGATAAATTCTATCATCATTTATTAAAATAATATTTTTCGTCATTTTCATTCACTACGAATTTAAGATTTATAGCTAGGGGAATAAACTTCATAAGTAAACGTTTCTACACTAGTTCGTTTATAACAGTGGTTACCAATTGGTTGCCCGCGGGCAGCATCCGGCCCACGAAGCCTTTTTTTGTGGCCCGTGAACCAAAATATATTAATTGTCTTTTTTGTGGACAATTTTCGTAGAAAATCTATATGAATTTTAAATACTTTTAAGTTTTATACTTTAACAATTTGATATGTGTCACACATTAATCGTTTAATCCATGGGTGCACATTAAAGTTATTGTAGCCAGAATTTTTTAATATGCAATTAAGTGCTTTAAAAAATCTACTTGTTACTTTAATTTACAATTCAATACTTTTGTTTTGTACAACTTGATAAAAATCTGACAGTAATATTTAACGTTCCTTCAAACATAAAAGAGTCCTATATAAAATTTTGATTAAGTTGCGGCCAGCCATTTGACTGGTGTTTTTAATTGCAGCCCCCAGCTTCATGTAAGTTGGAAACCCCTGGTTTATAACAAAATATCGCATAAACTAAATACTAGTACTAATAACTGTACTCTCATGTACTTAGGTCAAGGTATTATGAAAAGAATACTTCCATTTGGAGTGAAGAAAGTTCTTTATTTTGATATATTTCATCCAATAAAACCAGGTAATTTCATTTTTAAAAACATCTTTTAAACTCGCAAATCGAAATGTATTTTTAATGGACAAATGTTTTGCTGCGATGAAATATAGAACTATTTATTACAAAAATTTCTCTCATAAATAAATAAAACCTCTCTACGTTAAAAACGGTTATAATAAGTAGATATTTACGGTTTTGTCTTGTTTTGCAATAATATGCACGTAGAATCTAATAAGATTAGAAAATCAAAATTTAGATGGTTGAAAACCACATACAGAGAAAAAAAAAATTCAATTTAGTTTGAAAATTATTTGGGAAAACTTTAATTTATTTAATAAACTTTTAGTTTATTATAATACTATATTTCATTACTACTATACTTTTTTAATACTTCAGTGTTATAAATATATAATAAATTTTACCACATATATCATATGGTATGTCCTTCAAGCTAGAAATAGGCAGTTGTATAACTGGAATTTTCAAAATTTTATTTTATTAAAAAATAATTATGATTTTTAGAAAACCAAGGAAATGTTTCAGATGCGTAACACTGTAGGAATCTCCGATTTCTACAAAATAATTAACTAAAAATTAAGATAATTTTTCCTTCGAAAATTTAAAACTAGTATTAATCTGTCATAGGTTACGAAACTCTGCTAAATATTGTATTAAAATGTTAAAATTTATTTTGATAAAAATTGAAGAATTTCAAGTGAATTGCAATCGAAGAAGTTTGGAACTTTTAAAATACAACCAGAGAGATTTGGATTTTAAAACTTTCCAAGTCAATACATTCTGAATATGTAATTTTAACGTTACGTTTCTGATGCACATAAACTTTAAACATTTGAAAAATACATTTAAAAAATTAATTAAGCAATAACAGTTTAAAAATAAAATTTTCAATAGATTAAAATTAATTTTAATTATTTAAAACATTATACTAAACCGAGTGATTTACAGCGGAAGAAATGGGTGCTCTTTTTGTGGATTTGGAGGAACTATTAAAAAATTCAGACTATGTCGTATCAATGTGCAATTTGTCCGATGAAACTAAGCATCTTTTCAACAAAAAAGCGTTTGATCTGATGAAAAATAGTGCTGTCTTTGTCAACACAAGCAGGTAAGTAAAACTATTTTCTAAACCTTGTATTTCATATCAACCTATAGTTTATTCAAGTTAAGCTGAATTCATCAAATTTAGTAAGTCAAAATAGAATGAATGAGAAAAAGAAAGATAAATGAGAATGCGTATTATACTAAAAAACTCTCTACATATAATTTTTATTTTTACTTTTTTTCAAAAAATAAAAAAAGGAAGAGAAAAAGCAGCAATTTTAGTAGGGGAGAGTGGGGTCAATTGTAACAGGGTACGATTGTAACAGAGCAAAAATTTCGAGTGTCGGGTTCTAGATTTGGTTCCTAGGTGGCGCACACGGTGTATTTAATAAATCTACATGTACACCCCTGCTGGCAACCATTTTTATGTACTTTTGAAAGAGTTACATCACAAAAGATATTTTCACGCAACGTAAGTACTTTTTTAGGTATTAGAATATTATATTGTAACAAAGTAATTTTGTTTAAACAAATAAAAATTATTAACCGAATATGTAAGTGGACACCTTAATTAGCATTCCAATTAAAAAACAATTAGTTTTGTTAATTAACTAGCATTGTTTTTAACAATTGAAGCTGAAATTGCGTCTTGGGGACGATTGTAACACTAAGTAAAGGGACGATTGTATTAGCTGAAAATAAATAATCTTATGTTTACAAACCATTACTTAACTCTTTAAGAGCCACCAATAGTTTCCTATATCATTTATGTTATGTTGCATGTGCATTATTTTATTTGTCACCTTTCACAGCATAAATTAAAGTTTTGGCTAATAATCAGCATAAAGTCAGCATAAATAAAGGGTTAAACTTTTAACCCTTAAAGTTAAAAGTTTAACCCTTTAGGTCTCAGCTCATTATTATTTTTACTCCTAAAATATCACTACTATTTTGATCAATAAAAAATATATCACAACTATGATAACATGCATAATTAACTATGTTTTAGTTGAATTTATGAACTGTTGCAATTGACCCCGTAAGATGGGACAATTGTAACAAGTGCACGACTGTCAAAAATTGTTAATAACTAATATAATAACATTTAAAATAAGGTATTTATTTTTTTTTCTAGTAAAGGATAGTCTACTTTACTCGTCTGTCAATTAATATTAATAATATATTGGATTTTTGTTAGTTGAAAATAGTTAAGTAAAAAATGTTACAATTGACCCCACTATCCCCTACTTAAAAAAGTAATTTTTACTTTTATTTTATTTATTTTTTTTAATAATTTATACTCATTTGATTTTTATGCATTTTATGTAGAGTTTAAATAAATAAAAAATATTTTATTGTAGGAACACGATGATTCAAATTGAATTGAAATTTTCTTTATTTTTTTATAACTATAAAATTTAGCAATAAAAATTGCATATCATTTTTAAAAATTTATTCTCATTCACACATAGATTAGTCAATCATATTTTTTATATTACGAAAAGGACAACCGAAAATAATAGTTTTGCAGTACATTGTTTTTTTTAACTTATTTTTTTATACATATATCGTGAGATGTTATTACTTCATGTTTGAATGATCTTGTGAGTTATAGGTATAGGTCTTCCATTGCGTGTTGGTGTGCACACAGTGAGCGTCAAGTTAACCGGTAGAGTTTATACCAGCGATTCAGGGGAAGAAGGTAAAGAAAATCCAAGATAAAGTGAAACGAATAAATTGAATCTAATCACCTTACTAGTCACTTTATCGCTCTCTTTTACATTCCAACTTAAATTTTTTCCTTCACATGAGTATTTTCTACTGATTCTTATTACAGCTAATTTTACATATTTGTTTTACAGATTCACTCGCCATAAGAAATGCGCTCATATTTAGTTTTAACTTTCCCCACCTATGAACAAATTAAATCTTCCATTAAGCTTTTAAACTAGCAGATAGACTAGTAGCTTTTAGACTAGTGAACTCTTTCACTAAGCTCTGAAAATAACAATATGTGTATAACAATTTTTTCTGTACTATATGACCATGCTCCAGAAACATAGGGTGTTAGCACTGATTTGCTCTGCATTCTGCATATAAATCGAATTTGTAGCTGATCGCACATCTCAGAACGAATTTTTAATAAGTAATTCTAAAAAATAAGTTTGAACAAAATATTTCCGTTTACAATCAACAAATCATAAGATCTAAGTGGATAATTATCAAAAAATAGCAATTATGAGATCGAAATAAACTCTACTCTTCTAAAACTTCGATTACCAAAATACATTGATAAACACTTAGAATAACTAAGGACGGACAGCAAATGGCTGCATAGTGCATGAATTAAGCATGGTTATGCCAAGTCAAGTGAAATAAAAGAATGCCAGAATGTTAGGAATTTATTGTGCTCTGAAACAAAAAAGGCTTGAAATGAGTTCAAGGAACAAAATAATGGTTTTGTGCTGAAAATGCGACGGTAAAAAAAAATATACCATTTGTAGGCATACATTAGATGTCAATAGGAGGTCATACCTCCTATTGACATATAGCATGCTTTGCACACTAGTATTCAGCAGGTGTTTGGGAAAATTTTGCCTCATTCCTTTGTCAGAGCACAGATGAGGGTGTCCTTGTTTAATGCAGGACATTTTTTACCACCAACATTTCTCCCCAAAACATTCTACGCACTTTCGATAGGATTCAGATCTGGAGAATGTGCAAGCTATACGAGGAGCTTAATACCCTCACTCTGCACATACTCCTCGACAGCGACTTATTGATGACATGTTGCATTGTCTTCCATTAAAACAAATGTATCACCGACGACACCACGGAACAAGAGAAATTGAGGCAGCAAAATATCATAAATGTATGGTTGGCCTGTCACAGTTCAAGTTGAAAGCACATAGGGGGCGTATGGCCATTAATCATAATGCCAGCACATACCATGACACTACATGTAGGATAGCGGTCCCTTTCTTGTATGTTTGCACAACTATACGGAGTACTACTCACACGGCAGATCATTTGGCGTCGACAATCAAATGAGAGACTGAATCTACCTTCATCTGAGAATAGTACGCAAACCCAGTCCTCTTCGCTCCAACTGCGATGCTAAAGACACCATTGCAAACGGGCGTTACGGTGACATCTGGATAATGGTGTACACTCAACAGGTGGGCTGGCGCATAGTCCTGCTGACAAGCGTATTTTTCGGGAGATTCGGCTGCTAGCATCAGCATGAAACTGATTTGCTACCTGCCTGGCTGTACTGCGCCGGCTCCTTTTTGTCAACGGCACTATGCACCTGTCTTCTGCAGACGTCGTACATGGAACCCGACCTCCCCGTGACGCCCGCTTGACATTCCAGTTTGAAATAATTCTAAGGCATTGGAGCAACAATGTAGCTGACGTCGAAATCTGTGGCAATATGGATGGGTGATCATGTAAAGCTAAGGGTGGTGGAGCTAGTGGTAAAATTGCTCTTTCAAGACTTCCGGGTTACTGCTTCCGATATATTTTTACGCCGCAGATTGAAAAAACGCGCCATCATATCTTTTGCAGTATTTCACATGTACCGAGTTCTTTCTTTCAGCCTTTAAACTGCAGCATTATCATATTAATATTATAATAATTAGAATTTTTTCTAATTAGGCTATCTTAAAAAGATATTTTTAAAGATATTTTTGGCGACATTTTATTCAAATGTAGCCAAATAAGGGATAAAATACAAAACATGGCAAACATTAAGAATTATTCACAATGAGATATTAACTTTCCAAAAATTTTTTTGGCCTTACGACCTCTGAGAATCAATACATTTCTGAAAGCTCTTATGAATGGTACAATTATGTTTAGATTTGAACCCAAATTACAATAACAAAACTGCATAGAATATTAGGCTTGTTCACACATCGCCTCGTAGTCATAACATAAGCGGAGGGATACACCGGAAGTTTTCTAAATTTCTTCCGGTTTAAGGACACTTGTTATTGTTTACATTAGACCACCCATCCATATGTTAACTTTTCGAGCTTCTTCAATCTTGCCGATAATACGACTCAAGTAAAATAATCTAATTGACATCGGGAAGACATAATTGAAAATTGCAAGTTCGTTAATTGATTGTTTCCCGCTAAACTTTGATTATGAACAACAGCGTTCAATACGCGTCAAATCCTTGATATCTTTTATCAGCACTGTCATGTGACAAACCAGTTCGGCAAACCAAAACTTGCATACAAGTCTTACACTTTCTTCACACTTTTGCTAAATTTCACATTTTCCTATCTTCAGTTTTGTAGTTGCTACAGTTGCTATTATCACCCGTTCAGCAGAGTATAAAAACTCTAAATTCAGTGATAGTTGTATGGATATATTAAAATTAAATATTGTGATATAAAATTTTAATGTATAAATTAGTTGGCATTTTGCTTTATAACAACGAAGCTGATTACTAGCAGAGTTTATGTTCTATGCATCATTAACCCTTAACTGGCCAATGCCGCCATATATGCCACTTTCACTTATTTTTGTAAAACTGCCCAAATGATGACTAAACTTATTTATTTTCACACACTTACTGTTGTCATATTGCCGACCGGAATGTGTAGGGGTCAGGAATTGGCCTTGTATCAGAAAGTTTCTGGGTTCGAATCCCGGGCAGGGCATGGATGTTCTTTTATTCTCTGTACTATCTGTCCGTACTGTGGGAGCAACGTTGGCCCAACATAATATGGTGCCCTGAAACGGGACTAACAAATCTGCCCTTCAGATGCCTGTATAACGAAAGGTCATTCTCCAGGTTGGCACTAGAAAAAAAACTGTTGTTATATTTTAACCAATTTAATTGCAATTATATAATTATAATTAATATTACAACTATACCTGGGGGGTCAACGTGAAATACTTACGAACCATTAAGAGTACAAGTACGAATCGCTTTCGTTCAGTCTTTCTCAAAAACTCTCGGTTTCAAAACTATTCGTTGTATTGAATACTTTTTTTCAATTTGCCTTGTTGGTATATTTTTAAACATTCGATATTACTTATATTATATTCCAGAGGAGGAGTGGTTGATCATAAAGATTTGTATGAAGCTCTTAAAAATAAAACTATTCGTGCTGCTGCCCTGGATGTGACTGATCCTGAACCACTTCCAAAGAACCATGAATTACTCTCACTTCCTAATATAAGTAAGAATTTTCTATAAAATTGTAATTAACAGAAAATTCTTTTTAACTTTTATAGTAGCATTCATATAATTTATAGAATAGAATTGTATTTTACGGTTAATAAGCACTCTTAGGATAGTTAGCTTAATCAGTATTAAAAAAATAACAATTTAATGAAATAAATTTTTCTTTTCGTTTTAACACTTCAGATAACAATCAATAGACAGATATAAAGTGGAAAAGGAACCCTATAAGTAACTAAAAACAAAGTTAATCATTTTTCCTACAGTTAAGTAGTGCAGCGCTTAACGTTGTAAAACTAAACTCAGCGGCGCGACAGTCCTTGAGGGTCAAGGCCTACTGTGCCCATCTCAGTTTTCTTGACCTTGGGCTCTGGGGTGCAGGAGCAGATGTTCCGGTCAGGTGGTCAGCCGAACGCGGAACCCCCAGTGTTTAGTTCCCAAGCATGCTTGGTACTCATTTATCGACCCACTGAAGGGATGAAAGGCTGAGTCAGCTTTGCCCGGACCGAGGATCGAACCAGGGACCTGTGGCACGACAGCGCGAAGAGCTACCGGTCAGCCACCGGGCGTCGCTTAACTTTGTAATGATGGATAAAATTAATAGTTCGAGTTTTTTTAGAAATTCATAAAAAGAAAATATTGAATTAATTAAACGTCTTACGCTGAAATGAACAGTTCCAAAAAAACTGAAGATGAAGATGCCAATTCGAAAAATCCATTAGCTTTAAAAAGCAAAAGTTGAAATAGCAGGAATATTTCGAACACTCAAAATAGATGCTCAATATCAAAACCAAGCAACACATGATTCAAGTCGGTTTTTGAGTGCTCGAAACATGTAGACTTTCTCCACCTTAATTTTCGCTGCTAATTGCAGTCAACCTTCTTTCTGTTATCCTTTTTATAAACTTCTTAAATCATCTTAATAAACACGTTTAAAAAATAATTATGGAATAGTAAAAATCTGAAGCCATAAAGCTAGTTGTGTCATTCGTTATAATCAGATTTGTTTCTTGTAAGTGAAATAGAATTATTAATTTCTTAAAAATCCCTAAAAATTTTACATGCATTTATTGTATTGATATCTTTTTGTTGCAGTCATTACACCACATCTTGCCAGTTCAGAAACAAATGTTAGAATCAAAATGGCAGATTTGGCAGCAGAGAATATTTTGCTCGGAGTTAAAGGAGAGAAGTTGAAGACACCAGTACCCATGCCCGCATGAAGTGCCTTCAAAGTCAACTACTGTTTTCAATATTTATTCTTAATAAAATATAGTTCATTGCTAATTTTTTTTCCGAGACAAAAATAAAACAGAGGGAGGATTCAAAATAATTAGATGCACTTTTGAAAGTCACAAATCTGATTGGGAAAAAACAGCCGTTTTAACAATTTTACTTCCTTTTAAGATTGTAATTTACAGGGTGCTCCGTCGAGATCACCCTTTATTTGTGATTTTTTTTTCTTTTTAATTTTTAGCCAAAAAGGAAAACAAAAAGTATACACATTAGAGGATTCAAAATAATATTTAACCAAACAAAATAGGAAAACTCTTTCGAAATCTCGAAAGAGGAAGGCAGGATAGTATTAAACAACAAAACAAGTTTGTTTTCGGTAGGAAAATTGAAACCTCAAATTAAACCTATTTTACGGCTTATTACATTAGCCTTTCTCTACTTTAACTAGTTAAATATCTATAGAGTTTTGTATTTTTTGTCAGTTAAATATTAACGTGCAAGTCTCTCAACGTGTAAATTTGTTTAATTTCTCTTTGCAGAACACCTTGTATTTTAGAAAAAATACGGTAAAAAAAAAAAGCGAGAATTCCATCTACTAGGTTAGTTTAAAATCAAAGCTAAAATTAAGCGTGAAAGATTTGAAAGAAGGCATGCTTCCAAAATATTTTTAAACTCTAATATAGAGCTTTTTTTTTTGTCGTATTGATCAAAATCCATAAAGGAAACTATGCTGTTCATGAATCCACAGCGATTGCGTTTAGTTTGAAGCGATTTAAAAATTTGAGCAATTTGATTCTAGAAAATGCACTAGAAAATGGATAAAAAATTAATTCTTACATAAATTTACTCAATTTTCCGTTTCGAGAGTCTAGATTTTATTCGAAAATATTGTTTGTTAATCAATATTGTAATAGTTTTCAGTATTTTTTGAATAGGTATTTATCCACGAGTAACGATACACAATGCAGTATATTTATGCATGTTGACTAAATACAAAGCGTTTCATAAAGATCACCCTTAATGATTTTTTTTAATCAAAAATTAAAGGCAAAAAATACAAATCGAGTGTCAAAAGTTAATATTAAAGGGAGGAAAGAAAAAAAATATATGGAATGTTAACTAATCAATAATGATAAACCAGAAGTAAAACACAAACCTGTTCGATTGCCGCGGATAACAGAAATCTAACGATACAGCTTTTTCAGCCTAAATATTTTTGGGATTTTTGTTTTCATGAAAAACTTATTTTTGAATTTGAAATTCAAATGCAATAATCTTCTTTCATCTGCATGACAGCCTAGTACAGGCCAAAGCCGTCCTTGCAAATATAGTTACTTATCAGGCTCGATCAGACGCTAAGTTTCGCCACTTATTGATGCCCATGGTCTTATAATCTTTTTCTAAAGAATCAACCCATCTGTTTGGTCTACTCCTCTTTCGGTTGTCGTTAAACTTTCCAAATGTCATTTTTTCTATAGATGTGACCTAGCCATCTTATTCTATGGGATTGAATAACTGAAATCATGTTTAATTGCTTAAATTTTCCATATAATTCATAATTGTACTACCATCGTTTTCTTTAACTGCTCCAAAGATGGCTGAGTAGTTTTCTTTCACAAAATTAGTAATTTCATCAGTTCTTTAGCCAGTATTCACTGCCATAAAGTTAAACATGTTTAATCAGAGTATTATGTAAATTTAGTTTTAATGGAGTAAGCTTTGATTTCAGTTAAGTTTCTTAACTCAAAATAACACCCATAGTTATCCCTGTAGATAGGGTTTAACATAAGCGAAAAAAATTACTTTTGCAAGTTAAGTAACCACTTTTTATTACAGAATTTTTAAACAAGATGATTGTGGCTTACGGGTAAATACTTAAAAATTTTTAAATAAACACTCACAACACTGAAATAGGAAAGGAATATATTTATTCGAAGAAATATACTTTTAAGATAGGCAGATAAAAAGCCTGCATGAGGCAGAAATTAAAAAAAGGCATTGGCGAGACATTCGATGAAGTTACATGATTATAAATGCAACGTTAATAAAACATTTAACAATCCTAAAGTCAACTCTCAAAAACAATTACAAAAATGATTTCTGAAGTATATGATTTTGTTCTGAACACTACACAATAAATTTATATTAATATAGATAATTAGAATATGGAATATTTCAATAAATACTGCTTTGATTAAGCAAACATCAATCTACAACACAGGAGCTACAGATATATAATTTATAGCACCAACACATGTTAGATGTAACCGATTCCACGATGTTTGAAATATGACACTTTGGATTGGACACATAAAAGGTGGGATGAGTTTTTGAAAATAAACATTTACAGTTTTTATTTTTATAAAAAATACTGAATAGGAATTTTAAGAGTAGGTATGTCAGAAAATACTTCTCCTCTGCCTATTTTAGTGGCAGACAAAATACTTCATTTCAAATAGGCATATCATAAAGTGGCATGACTAGAAAAAGTTTCTTTTTATCACATAGAATGGAGTTTAAAATAAAATAAATTGTAAGTAGGCAAACGTAAAGAAGAAAAAAAGATACTTTGGCAAGGGCACAGATGCAAGATACACAAAGAAAAAGCAGTCAAACAAAACATAGAATGGAGTTTTTTCAGTTTTTTTTTAACCAAGAGGCACTGGTGAAACCATAGGTTTTCCATCAAGAACAGACAAGATGTTTTCAGCTGCTAGTTTAGCCATCTGTACTCGCACAGATACTTCAGCGCTTCCAACGTGAGGAGTAAGTACTAAAAAGAAAGAAAAATAGAAATCAGTTATTCACAACTTGAAATTAGTTCTCGATAAGAACAACGTAATATGAGTTTTTCGCGTCTGATTGAAGTGGCAACAAAAACAAGCAAGCAAAGAATCAACACAGGGCACGGGCTTGTTTTGAAAATTTGTTTTATGCCAGGTCAGGCTCAAGCTAAAATGTTTTTTCAACGCTCTTACCATATAGACGATGGAATGAAATCTCCAAAGATGTTTCCGTTTGCCATCTTTAATTTAATAGCAAATTAATGTGATCACTGAGGACAATTTATTAAGCCGGCCAGGTGTCAGGATGGTTAGCGTGCCTGACAGCGAAGCAAATGGCTACCAGTTCGAATTCCGCTCAAGGAACGGATATTTCTCTAGCTGTACTGTCCTCAGCTGTGTGATGTGTAAATGTGTCCCATCCTATGAACGGGTATTTGTGACATTGTAGCGTCGGTAATGTTGCTGGTTTGCTATCATTCTTATAATTGTAACAAATTGGTATTTAAAAATACTTTATGTAACTAAATAAAATGTAGAGTTGTATCACAATAAAAATTTAGATCTAAATAAAAACAAAATAAATAATTCAAAATTAAGTGAATAAAACATACTGTAGAACTAATTTAAAACTAGCTAAAGTAAGAGGCAATTAAAAATGCAAATGAAGGGTGATGTCCCAAATCACACTTTTGATGTGATAAACGAAAATTGTTTCATTCAGGCGGTGGAGGGGGGGAGTAGCTTAGTATTCTATTTTAAGGAGATTATTTCATATTTGGTGAAGCAAACAAGCTCAGCGTGAAAAAAAAATTATTGGCCAAATTCAATATTTTATAATAAAATATTTTTTTTTTAGAAGTGTTCTTATAATTGTGATACAGATGAAGACTAGATTAGAAAAACATTCAAGTACGATTTAATAGTGACTTTGTTATTAATAATCGATTATTATAAATAATCCATATAAGGCAGGAGTGTGTCACCCACTATCTGGTTTACACTTGCCCGGTATTTCCTACACTGATTTTTGTTTAAGGTTAAAGGGTCATTGTGTAGTTTTCCCTACATCGTTATTATTCCTGATGTAGCTTAATCGAGTGGTGCTCGTCACTCATTTAAATTACATTCAAATTGGGATAGTTTACTTCCTTGAGTGGCTGATTTTATAAACCGGTATACCAATAATGAGAAAGAAAAAAAGTTACAAAGTTTAATTTAACAAATACACTAGAGAATAAATCAAATGCTGCATACATATTTTATTTTAACTGTTTAAAATTAAATTGGACATTTTGATTAAATATTCAAAGAATGAGTTTAAAACATAGGCATATTGTTTGCTTAGTAGAGTTTAGATATGAGGATTCAGCATCATTTAAAAGTTTAGAGTTTTTGTAGCTTTCAGTATTATATAAAAAGATAAGGATAAATTTGAATACATTTTGAATTTATCATTAAATTTATCATTGAGACGCAAATCTTTATAATAAGAATTGCTGCAAATTATAAGTTAAGATGAAAGTTAAACTGTGCCCTTAATCTTTACTCATAGCTGTCAGACTGAACAAGGAAAAAAACATTCAGAATTGGTTTTAACTATGGAAATGTTTCGCTACCTTCGCAAATGTCCCGGCAACATCTTAAATAAAAAAAGGAAGAAAAGAATATTTTACAGTATACTTACTAATATTGTCCAACGTTGTTAGAGGATGGTCTTTTGGTAATGGTTCTGGAACCATTACGTCTAATCCAGCTGCTCTTATCTTCTTATTTTTAAGAGCATCAAACAAATCTTCCTGATTTACAACTCCTCCTCTGTTAAATTGAAAAAAAAATATATATATATTCAAAACAGTAAATAAATTAGACTTCAAATGCTTGAGATTATTTTATGTTATAATATACTCTAATCTAAAAGTTTCAAGCATAAGACTAGTACAACAACTGCTTAGTTTATTTCTTAATAATAACTAAAGCGCTTTTTCTGGTAAAGGTATAAAAAATATAATTGAACAACATTTGTTTTTAATTTTAAAATCAACATATGACGAATTTCAATACGTAATTGACGCGTAAATGGATGCATTTTAAAGCATGCAACGAACTTGCAGTTGTTTAATCATTTTATTTTAAGAGGTGCATAAGTCTTACAAAAGTGATTACAAAAGCAGCCACGAGTCACTTATGAAATTTTACTTAAGTTTCAGTTCATCGAAGAAAAAATTAATAGGAGGCGATTATGCAGGGAGTTCCATATTCAGTGTGCCGGGCAGGTGGCCGAACGGTTAGCGTGCCTGACTGCGAAGCCAATGGCTGCGGGTTCGAATCCTACTCTGGGCATGGATGTTTCTCTCTATGTGTTGTCCTCTGTTGTGTGTGAATGTGGCCCACCCTATGAACGGGTTTGTGGCAGTGTGACGTGGGTAATGTTGCTCGCCTGCGTGACTTAGGTTCACATGTGCCCACTGGGTAAAGCTAAATGAGCAACACTTCCGGCATCTTCCGAGGTGAAGAACGAGAGTTCAAGTGCCTACCGTTATTTAAAAAAAATATATATTCAGTATTTTTAATATATATTTCCAGAAGCCTTGTTAAAGAATGAAGCCAATAAAGGACAAATATTAAGAGTTAATAAACGAAGGAAATGACCAAAAATGCCATCAATATCCAATGCATCACTACAGACGAAAGTAGGACTGAAAGCATCAAAACTTGTTTGGTTTCTGAAAGAAAGTAGAGTTGAAAGGAGCTTATTACAGTGGAATAAGCATTCAAGTTTTTATTCTTTCAGTCTAGCTTTCCAAATCTGTTAGATTGATACTTTTTTTAAAAAAAATATTAACTTGATACCGTATACTCTATTTCATTTATTACAAGAATTCTGAAAATATTTTTATGTGTGGTAATTACTAAACGCCGTGTTTATATTAGGATATTATTCATGAGATCTTGTTATTTATATAAAATACAGATGCATTGAAATATTTTCTAGTTCCAAAGCTTAAATTCAGTTTCTCTTAACTATTGGGAACCAACACTTTGTTAAAACTAAAGAAATTCATGGTTTACATATTGAATTAAAAATTTAAATTATTGAATCAGTTTGAAGTTCGAAAAACAATTTTTTTTTTTACAGACATATACAGGGTGATTCTAAAAAGATGGGCAAAATTTTAGGAAGTGATAGCACACCCAAGCAAACAATTTTTATCAAAGAATGCAAGGTCGAAAGCAAAACGCAAAACCGCTAGAATGTGTCAAAGTTTATAATCTTATACGAGGCAAAAACACTCAAAGAACGATGAAGTTAAGTTATAAAAGCAAATTTAACGGCATGTGATTACAGTAAGTGTTCGAAACAATGGCCGGCAGCGGCTATGCACGCAGTACAACGGCGAAGAAAAGATAGGCGAACATTCTGAAACACAGCAGGATATCACAAACTTTCCCTGCAGCGGCCGAAAGCTTGGCGACAAGTAACGCAGCGCAGTAACTCGCAACAGGAATGGAGCTTTCACGTTTGCATTAAACAACTTTCCAAATGCGCCAGCATCTTTGCGTTTTGTTTTCGACCATACATTCTTTGATAAAAATTGTTTGCTTGGGTGTGTACTATCACTTCCTAAAATTTTGCCCATCTTTTTAGAATCACCCTGTATAGCAAAAAACATGTCACCTAGTTTTCTTTGCTTAAAAGTTACTTTTGTTTCTCTGTAACGTTGATTAAGCATTACACAAAAACCAATACACATGATATCAAAGCAAAATTATTTTTTGTTTTGATGTAATACAAAAGTTTTGGTTTGTAACTATTTTCGTACAACAACTACAGATGTAAATATAATTCTAAAAAATAATATTGAATCTACAATATTAAAAATAAAGATGGAAAACTGACGAGGAAAAATAAATACATCAAATTGAAAATATAAGAAAATCAGACTCATTCAAATGTTTTATTTTCAAACATAAAATAGGCACTCTACGCTAGGGACAAACATTAATTAGAATTGTTTCACATGTTTATAAGTAATTCATAAATCAGCTGTACGAATAATTATTTTCATATTACACTTATAATTAAATGTAAATATTTAAAACAATTTCAAGCATGGACATATCTTAATTATTTGCTTAAATAAAATAACCATTTGCGAGCGTCACGCGAGAAACGAAGAACTGTAATGCATGAAGATTTAATAAACAAATAGGGGTAGAAAAAAAAAGAAAAATCGATAGCGAAGCCATAACTTTTTCTCACGCACGTCTCGAAATTGCTTTCATGTTTCTAGGATACACTTTGAATCTAAAAATACTAAATATTTATTATTAAACAGAATACAATAAAATTGCAAATTCTGTAGTGGCGGAATCAAAATCTAACATTTGTACGAAGTTTTCAATAGAATATCTAGAGCATTAGCATGTCATTAGAAATTTATTACTCGAATAAGAGAAGATTGTAATTTTTTAATTAAAAAAAACCTTAATTAAAAAAACCGTGCAATCATTTGAGAAAGCTTTCTGTTCGTCGTACAGTCCTATGTCTGAAACGTCGAAAATATCAGAAATAATTCAAAGAGACAATGTATTGATCTTATCTTTGCAGAAGTTTCGCTGATCTATCACGAAAACACGTACGAATTAAATATTAAGCGCTTTTGTCTAGAAGCGATAGTAGACGCAGTTAATCCAGGCTACCCAGAGAACTGTAAATGTGTTTTCTTTACAGGATAACTCTCCTCGCAGCAAAGCAACCTTTTCTTCGATTACTGCGACCTTGGTCAAAGAATACCTAAGTCCTATACTTGTTTGCCATGACTGCGACCAACGTGAAACGAAAGGAGGGTATTGAGATAGTTGTACAATTTTTTCTTTTAAATGTGAGGCAATTATTTACGCCCATCGTTTTTTGTGCAGTCCTAGAATACTTAAAAATACTTTAATGTTGAAATGCATACACTCTTGCTATAAATTATCATCTGAAAATCGAAAAATTAAATCGAATTTCAGATGAATTATGTAATGAAAGGGTGGTCAAAATGGGTTCCTTGGGGTATTCATCCACTTTTCCTTCGAGGTTAATATCTTCCTTACCTGTAATATGCATTATTCTTTATCGCCTTACGAGATCATCGCCAACAAAACAAATTATTTTTATTCTTTGAAATGCTGGATGCTATTTAGGCAAAGTATGAAATAATCGTCCTGATGAGGTTATTATGTAAATGATGTTGCATGTTACTGTGAATGACCGAACTCGGTGGCTGTTGGCTTTCACCGGTGATTGTTGACAATCAAATTAGTCGCTTTGGTGAATGTCTGAAATATTTATTACATCCGATTTGATATTAATTTATTCGTGGATATAATTACATTTATTCGATATCTATCGTTCGATCTATCGTCAGTAAGTATTAAATACTTACTGACGATAGATTAGAACAAACATCAGTGTTTGGAGTATGGGGCAAATATATGCCGGGCAGTGGCACTTGACCTTAAAAAAACATCAGTGCAGGGTATACCGGGCAAATGTATACCGGGCAGTGGCACTTAACCAGACCTAGTATGACTAGACCTTTGGTAAATGTCCGAAATATATACTAGGTCTAGTGCCACTTTTGCTATAGCTTAAATATTTCAAAAAAAAATTAAACAAAGCGTTTGAATCAATTTTAAACTGATAACGAAATTATTGCTTTAAAATTAAAAAAATAATCATAAAAACTGCGCCAGATACGAGTAATTGAAGTAGTTGCTTTATACGGCGCATGTGCGGAAAAATTTTTAAAAAAAAATTATCCAGGTGCATCTAAAAGTGGATGAATATCCCAAGACACCGTCAAAATGACCTAACATTTTACTCAGGTATTGAAAGTTCGGGACTCTTAATGATATTTTAACTGTTTTTCACCTCATTTCAAATCCATTACGGTAATAAAAAATTTTAAGCAATTACGTAAAGATTGATTACAACAAAACATTCGAAATATCACATCTTTATAATCTAACAAGTTTTAAAATTTTTACTCCCGAAAATGTTTCATTATTAAAATAAAAATATTAAAAAATATATTTTTGCAAAGAAATATCCTTGAATAAAACGTTAAGTAAGTTCAAAGATATTTAATTTTACCCCGATAGTTCTAAAGATCAGACAAACTAAACAAAGAGTTAAAATAGCATAAGGGAAGGGGGGACCAAAATGGATATCCTGTCTAAGCAGTTGGAGCCATACACTCGAAAATGAAGCATTCTTACTCCTTCGAATATTGTTTGAGTCAGCAATCCGGATCCATTGCAATGAATGCATATTCAGGAAAATTAAGCTTTCGTATTGGATTGTGAAACTTAAAGTAATTTCGCACCAATTAACATATCTTAGTCCTATCCCTTGTGAGTCCTTCAAACCATCTCAGAACATAAAATTCCAAACAATAAATATAAACTTATTCACGAAGTAATTTTTTTCAATTTTGTACTGCGGGAAACTAAAAAAGTTCATTACTTATTATTTTCGTAATGTTCATTTTACTTTTTTGCGTATTTCACCACATCCCCAGAACTTTTTGAGCGAACTGAAAACTTTTTGAGCGAAAGTTTTTGAACGCAATTGTAAAATTAGTTTATCCAAAGATAATTCCATACAAAATATAACTTTTAATAAATATTTTTTACTTTTTTATTATTTCATATTAATCGAGAAAATTTTGAATCTTGAGGTATAGATTTTTTTTAAATCATTTAAAAAAAATGTAATTTTGAATGCAAAAATACAAAGTTTGAGGGGAGTCTGTTGACAAGTTCCTTAAAAATCCAATTTTAAAAAAAAATCGTATTTTTAAAATTCAATTTCCAAGGGACTATTAGTTCCATTTCGATCAAATTTAGTGTTGCGTAGAATTACATTCCTTAAAATGATGTAAAAAAAATATATGCCTTACAATTCAAAATTTTTTCGACTATTATTAAATAAAATAAAAAATAATTATTTACTAAAAATTATGATTGGATAAACTTTATAACTGCGTGCAAAACATTCTCTTAAAAAATTAGAGTCATGGCGAATACGCAACACCTAAAATTAGCATTGACTTTCTCAAACTTTGGACTAATCTCCTGACTAAAATATTGGAACCATATTTTTCAGATTGTGACTCCTCCCAATATTTGGTCGGTCAGCAATTCAAATCCGTTGTAAATAAACGACATTTTTATTCAGAGAAAGTACGTTTTTGTGTCGTAACTGAAAATATCATCCACTAATTAGCATATTTAAAATCACCTCATTGAACCATTGAGATTGAGTTCCAGAATTTGAAGATCCGATTATTAGATCAAAAGTTATTTAGGGTAATCCATTTTTTATTCTACACACTGAAGAGTGCGGAAAGTAACGGAACCTGAATAACCGTTGAACTAATGACTGAATTTTCTTAATTGTTAGAGGATTTAACAAATATGCTTGTAAAATGAAATTCGAGCAAACCTTATTTTAAGTTACCGAATCAGACACAAAAACGTACTTTCTCTGAATAAACATGCCATTTTTTGACGGAATTGAATTCTTGACCCTCAAATTCCATGTGGCAACCGCAATCTATTATAGTAAATATGGTTCCTATGAAAAATAGAGTTTGAAAGTAATACTAATTTCACTCTTACCCGTTAATACTAACTTTCTTTTAAATCGGTCGAGTAGTTCTTGAGAAATCTAAATTTTTAAAAAAAAAAAAATCAAACTAAAAATTTCTCACCGTACAAATCGAATCTTTGCACTTACCTACTCGTATTTACAAATACTGCTGTAGGTTTCATGAGATTGAAGGCCTTAGCATTGAAAAGATCTTTCGTTTGCTCGGAGAGATTGCACATTGCAACGATAAAGTCGCTTTGTTTCACTAACTCTTCAAATTCTACATATTGAGCACCCATATCCTCGGCTAACAAAAGATTTCGTTTAAAAAAAGTTAATCACTGTAAATAAAGTTACATAAAAATCTGAAAACGAAGAAATAACGTTAATTCATACCAGGCTTGATTGGATGGAATACATCAAAGTAAAGAACTTTTGCAATTCCAAAAGGTAACAGACGTTTCATAACTCCTTGCCCTAAAACATTTTCAGTTATAAACTTTTTAACCAGAAATCAAAAACAAATTAGATTAAAACGTTCGAAAACTTCTAATTACAGAAATAAAATCATAAGTATACAAGTCAATTACATTTTGTAATATTTAAGTCAAATTTTGTGCAGACAGTTTAAACTAAAACTAGTAAACAATGATTTCAAAATTTCTGGTAATTAGTTTTTATTGTAAAGGAAATTCGAATCGATGCTTCAATAAAAACTAACTGCACAGCCGCTTACCAATTCGTCCCATTCCAACAATACCAACGGTTGCATTCGTTAAGCCTTGTCCGCAAAGCCACAGAGGACTCCAAGAATAAACCCATTCACCCCTGGAAAGAGAAATCGAAATGTACTTGCAAAAAAATTTAAAATTTCATTTATCGAATTACAAATATCTCAATTAAAATTTGTAGAATTGTAAAATATCTCTGAATTGCCTTTTTTTTTTAACTATTTACTTTTAACTACTTTCAGACAATTAAATACGAACTTTATGAGTATAGTTTTCTGTATATAAGATAATTATACTCTGACAAACCTAAATGCATTATTTAAAACTACAACAATGTTTGGTATCCATTGACCTTCATTCTAGCCATTGAATTCACTCTTTATCCATCTGAAAACGCGTAAAAATTGCAGTTTCCAGTCAGTCAAAATAAATTAAAGTTGTAATTGCTGATTTACATTTCGCTACTATTTACAAAAAATGCTACATTAAACATTCAAATAGTGCTGAAAAAAAATGATTTCTAGGCGTAGTACAGTAGCGCTGTACAACTTTATTAAACTACGCACTTTTTACCATAGCTCTATCCGGTAAAAATTGAAGAAATAACGTTCCTATCTTGAAAACAGTGCAAGATAAGAAGTGAATTTCTAGGGTGAATTGTAAATCATCATTGATGTAATATGAATAGACATCTTCTGAAGTCTGGATAATTAAAATCAACATACATTTTTTTCAACGATTTTCTACATTGTGATGTAAAGAAACTATCTTAGAAAGAAAGCAAACTAGCTATAATATACCTTTATTTTTAGTGCATAAAACTTAAAAAGTTTAAAAATATCTTGAAACTAGTTTTTCTCCCCTCAAGATTGCCTTGTCTGTGGCTGGGTGGCGCAGTTGGTTTGTCGTCGGCCATTTGAGCCCAAGTCTGCGAGTTCGATCCCCAGCCCAGACACCGGATTTTCTGGATGCAGAAAATCCTCAGCGACCATGTCGTATGATTATGCGGCATGTAAAAGATCCCTGGAGGGCTTTATTGGCTCTTGGCATTTCCGGCAAAACTAAATTTCTAGTGCACTTTAGCATCCAAACAGAGTCTCGGTGCTGCGATCTAGTGTGGCAGAAACTAGACGTCCAAATTAACATGACCAACGGTATCTCACCCATTGTGGTGGTCCTGAAAGAGTGGATACCACCTCTGGAGAACGCACTAAGACTGCTCATCTTCAAGACCGATTGTGCAGCTCATTGGGAAAAAAAAGACGAAAAAGAAAGATTGCCTTGTCTCGTCACACTGTGGGAAATCAAGTTTTATGGACCCTTTTCTCAGCATTAATATCTTAAAGGTGGCCATTCGTTATAAATAAACGAAACTACAACTTTCTCATTTCCCTTTTCGTCCTGACTTACACCGTTTTTGAGATACGAACCCTAAAGAGGAGATATTAAATCATCGGACAGCGTTGTAAGAAATATTATAGGTAGAGCAGTGCATAGCCAATTTAGTATATATAGACACCTTTTTATAGCTATAACAGAATCTGTCGGAGAGCTATGAGACTGACTTGAAATTACAATTTTTCGTACAGGATTATTATAATTATATAGTAAGACAACCTATGACTTAATCACTGATTAAACAACCTATAACGACATAAGTTGAAATTTCTTCGCATTCATTTATAGATAGTAGGGGAAAAAACAGACAGAAAAGGGATTTATACTTCTGCGACCTTCAAGTGTTTATTTTAATGGCGTCACATAAAAGGAAATAGAATCGTCCTAAAAGCAATCTAAAATAGTTTTCAAAAACTGTATTTTACTTTTTGATGGCTGAAGCCGCATCCATTAATCTTCGTCCAGCGGCCAATAATAGGGTCACTGTCATTTCGGCAACGGAATCTGTTGAGACGTCTGGAGTGTTACTTACTGGAATATTTCTAAAACATAAAAGGATTTTTTTTTAATGTTCTTTTCTTTACAAAACATCCGCACATAAAGAAAAAAAAAATCTCACCTGGCTTTGCATTCTTTAGTATCGATGTGATCGAAACCAACAGACATGGTAGCAATCGCTTTAAGCTGAGGTCCTGCAAACGTTGCACTTATTTAATTAAAAATACATATATAATTCTTATATATAGTAATCTTAAATAAGCAATGCTTTTTTTTCCTTCAGAATATTGAATTTATGTTTCCTCTCTTATTAGTTGCTTTGGTTTGACGATTTAAAAGATCTTTTAACTGTCATGTTGCTTAACTATTCCTTTGTGTTATCTGCCATTAATGGTATTTCCGCCACCTACTTATTACATATTGTTTGCCAGCATAATATTTGCCATAACAATGAACGCTGGCGAACACTATGCATAGGTAAATTTAAAATTTTTAAAAAATAGTGCGTGGTGTCCCTCCGCGCGGAAGTGAAACTTCGTAATGTGAAAATAAAAATAGGAAGGGGTAGAAATAGATTTTTAGTGAAATCATATTGTTTCTTTAAGACAAACTTTATTAACATTGCTTACAATTCACAATTGATCGTATCTTTTAATTTTCAAATGGAGAAATATTCAAATCTATAACATTTATAATGGAATTATGATAACTAAAGTGAGATACGAAATGTTTGAGTTCTATTTTTTCAATATTTCTTGCATAAACTGCATCAATGGTTGTTCCCCCTTTGGTTGTTGGATCATTCCTACCATTTATGAAGGTTAATAATGTTTCAGCTTCAGGTAATGAGAAATTCACATTAAAATCTCCTGTAAGGATCACAGGCCGCTCACAATAATTCATTTCTTCACCAGTAACGTCTGCCAGAGCTTGTGAGCTGCCAGAGCTTTAAACGTTTAACATAACCTTGTTGGAAGTCGCATTAGAAGTTTCATTTCAAAAAATTATCTCTGATTTTCGAGGCCGGTGATTGTATATATGAGGGCACCATTCAAAATGGCTGATCCAATATGGTAGGCATTATTGCTTAATTCAGTATGACTGATATCATGTCATAGAGAATAGAATTGCAAACTTCAAACATATCTTCTTCAAACAGATTAGTCGCAGCAATGCCATAAAATGCTTTTAAAAACTAATATTTTGTAATAAATTTTTTCAATAAGTCAGAGGATATTGAACAAGTCAGTAAAATATAACTACACTAAGATAAAAGCTTATATTTCAGTGGTAAGAAATTTAAAATTTTTAAACAATTTTTTTAAAGTTCTTATGACTCCCATTGCTGTCGAACTAACTGTGGAAGAGTTTCATAGTTTTCATCTCCATGAAACGCAGTCTTCAAAAAGTCTTTCACATAAGAAATTTTCTTCAAGTTTTTGATCCAAATGTTTCCTCGTCTTCTAGGTTGGCTTCAAAACTAAGAGGCCACGAAGTGATAATTTCATCGACATGGCTGCAAATCCTACGCGGATTGGCTGTTCGTCACCGGCGGTAAAATTGCAGTCACGTGATACGTTTTCTCTAATCTATATTACGATAAGTTTGGAGGAAAGACATTATTTTCAACTCTTTTTAAATCATTAATTAATCATTAAAAATAATTAAGTGTTCCACTTTTAAGGAATAAATATATAAGCCTGTAATTCAAAGAGTTATTTTGATTAAGCTGGAAAAAATAAAGAAAATATTTTGGATGAATATTCATGTCAGAAAATAAAGAGACATCTAAAGCAGAGTATTTTTTCCTACTTAAAACAAAACTTTAAGAGAAGGGAATACAAAAAGGTTTTATTCCATTAAGGGTTCATTTTACCCAAAAGGAAGTCCCGTAAATCTACTATTTTTACTTTACCAGATTACTCTAAAGTAAACTTTTTTAGCTGTTAATGGCTTTTCTACAAAACATCACTTGAAGACTATTTTTAGTCTTTCTCCTTCTTATATAACCAACCTCCTTATATAACCCCTGAATAACCGACAATTCTTTAACTTCATACTTAAATATTTTGTGCCGCAGACCTTAAACTCTAGTATGGATCAATGAAAAAAAAGTTTCTCGTTTCTATGGTGTTCTGTAAATTATTTGCATAATATTTAAACTATAATTTCCTGCGATTTTTTATTCCTCTTCTAAAATTTCAGAAAACCTTTGATTTTTAAAAAAAGCTCATTTTTTAAATATAAATCTTTGTGTAAAACAGGTTGTTTTAGCGTCTTGGTTTCATATTTCAAGCCAAAATACAAAACTGTTTATTAACGCAAAGCGTTTAAATAATACAAAACAGTTTATTAACGCAAAATGGTTTAACAGCGCAAAACGGTTTACTGCAAGCTTTTATCAAATCAGAGTAAAAAAATAAAAAATAACCTTCAAATTATATTCATAACTTTAAGGAATCGGGACGATAAAATTGCATAAACAAATCTGTCATTTTAGATTCTTTCAAAGTATTAAATATTTAGCATTCAAGTACCAATAACGAGTTTGCACAGACAGCACCCATGACATTATCGAAATTCGCAAAAAAATAAAATCACAAAATTAATCTTGCATAATTTAAAAAAAAAAAAAAAACAGCGTTCCTGATTACATCACGATATTAATATGCCCTTTAGCACTCCCGATTCCAGCTCAGTTCGATATAAAATCTACATGCTTTCCTGTAACATAAAATTGTTTGTGATATTACTAAATCCACCACATACAGAAAAATCTCCCATACTGTCCAAGGTTCTAGCAGTTAGAACCTGCCCTGAACAGCAGTTATATTTATAGTTTGTGTGCCTTTTAATGATGTCCAAAACTGTGGACATAATCCAGAAAAGAAAACTAAATCCATGGGACAAAGAACTCCTGGGTCAAGGAGGGAATGGAGCTAGCCTGCATTTGCGTTACAGGATGAGGGAAATTACGAAAACCTTCGGCTAACTAGAGGGTTTTCATAGCTCCCAGCTTCATTAAATAACTATCAAATAGCAGTAAAGTTAACCCGGCTTGAGTGCCTTTTGTTCCGAAATTAAAATTTGCTATATTTTGTACCAAAGCTTTATTTTCTAAGAATTAACGATATTCAATTCAACGAAATGTTTTTCCTTTATTTAAGGAGGAACACAATTGTGACATTTGGAATGCATAATGAAATTCATCCTATTTAGTTAAGATATTAGTAAATACGTATATTACGCATAGTATTCGTTAAAATATAGGTACTTTTTATGGGTTTTGCAATTTGGTTTATTAAGTAATAAACCCTAACTTATGAACCTTTTTTCGTTCAATGTGCAATTTTTTTTAAAATGGGAAACAAAACATAATATACTTGGTGATAAATTTTAAAGCTAATAGGATAGAGATATATGATATTAAATTTCTTCAGAATGGAAGCTTTACGTCATAAATTAACAATACAATAATATAAATTTTTAATCCTTAGGTAAATTTTTACATGTTTGATGCCTGCTGGCATCTAGTTCAAAATATACTATCTCTAAACAAGTAAATATTTTGGTACATGGATTGAGAAATAAACATTTGTTTTAATATTATAGCGTTATTTTTGAAAAATACAGCCACGAAATATTACGGGCACGAGAAATAGAGGGCGAAACGTCAGTCTGTCATTTTGACAGAAGCAAGGAGAAAAATAAAAATGTATTGATAAAAACTAAAACAACGTCAACACCTACCTGCAGCTTCGATTACTTCTTTGTCAATGGGATCAGTGAGAAGGCAAAAAAGGGCATCTTTACCCTTTATACCCTTCAAAAGAGCATCTCGCTCTATTGGTTTATCTTGATCATATATTTCCACATCACATCTGAAAAGAGTTAAAGAAAACTATTTTAATTTTATTTAATAATCTCGCTCACTGTTTTCGTTAGCTTTAAATGTTATAAAAAGGGAAATAAAAAAGTAATAAAATAAAAAATAGTAATAGAAATAAATAAAAACTGTGTTTTTTATTCAGCACAAAGACCACATTGCCATATTTACATCAAATATAGGGAACAAATTCCAAAAATCTATTCGTACTTTATTAGGCAACAGTTCAACATACTGTAAGCCAATACAGAAAATTAAAACTTGCACAGTATAAATAATTCAATGCTGAGATACTTTCCTCGAATGAATATTGAGTATTTCTTTTTGATTTTGTCAGCTTATAATCTTTCACTTCATTGGACAAAAATCCAGTTTATTAAAAGTAAAACATATGAAAGTTTGAGGCCCCCCACTTGCTTTACCTGCTATTGATCAATATACAGCCTTTTCTTCAGAATTCGGGACGTTGCATTGATTTTAGATGAAAAATCACCCACACGCAATGTGACGGATGAAAAAAAGCAATTATTTTTATCAGCATTCGTCTGTGGCCCAATGGCTTCATAATTCATGAAACTGAATAACATCAGTTTATTTGAAAATATACTAAGTTCATCTTCGCTCTCTAACTCCAGCTGCAATTGCGTAACAGTTTGTTTCTTGTAGTGACACAGAAATTTCTTACAAAAATCAAAACATAAAATTTTTATTAAAATAAAAGTCCTTCATACTCTAGCAGTTTCGAATCAAACTCAGAAGTATTGAGAAAAACTTATTTTTGAAGACGTTTTGATTGAAAGAAACAAGCTCCCATGTTAATTACTTAGGGAGGAAGATTGTTAAAACATCTGAGGTCTATTAATAACGGCAATGGAATTTTAATCCGTGGTACTATAACCATTAGAAGAAATTTTTGTTAGCATTGAAGTTAATAGAAAGAAAAGTCCTGTAATATTTTTAGAAATGTCACCCACATTGCACTCCTTGCGTAACCAACCTCGCAATTGTCTCGAAACAAATTTTTAATTCGCAAAACCGAATTTTCGTTCAAAAATAGTTTATATTAATCGTTTTCGTTTCATATGATAATTTATTTCATTTTATATTATATTTTTGTTTTATAAAATTTATTTCATTTTATATTATATTTTTGTTTTATATAATTTATTTCATTTTATATTATATTTTTGTTTTATATGATAATTTATTTCATTTTACATTATATTTTTGTTTTATATGATAATTTATTTCATTTTACATTATATTTTTGTTAAACATAATTATTGATTTCATTTTACATAATATTTTTGTTTTATATAATAATTGATTTCATTTTATATAATATTGTTTTATATAATAATTGATTACATTTTATATAATATTTTTGTTTTATATAATAATAGATTTCATTTTATATAATATTTTTGTTTTATATGATAATTGATTTCATTTTATATTATCATCTATCCTAGTAATAAATTTGAGATAACCACGTACACTTTCTGTTACGGTATAAAAAAAAATTTTGTTTTTGGAATAGAATAAAAAATGTAATTTCTGAGCATTTGCATTAAAACTATAGGAAAAGCAAGAAAACCTTCCACAGTTAGTCCGTAGTCCTCTTATTATTGTGTAGGTATTTTTATCTGCGTCTACGTTTGGATCATTTTTTTCAACAATACGATTTATAGTTACAAAATAATTTCTTTATAAAAGCAACGTAGACTTTTGTTGTAATAATACAAGTGCATATTTTGTGTAAATATTTTTTTCACGAATGGTCTGCCTCGTTGTCTTGGTATCGAGATCACTATTTTTTCTTCGTTTTAGAAAAATAATCGTGCACTCAAAATAAAAACTAAGTATTTGTTACAGTATTATATTCCTTCGTGTATAGTTCGTTCAATAAAAGTGGATAGAATTAATGAACAAAATTCTCGCAGACACTCTGCGTACAAAATCTTTAAACTTTCGTTACTTGCCTTAGTTTTCTTTTTAATACATGTTAGTGGCTTTCGGCAAACAGTTGGTAATCCCAAAATGAACTCCCGCTTTATGGTTCCTCCAGATTTCTTCGTTCTGACTGACAAACTCGTCGTTTTGTGACTCCAAATCGATTTATCTATCTCAAACAGTTGATTAAAGAAAATATGGCATACCAAATTTTAAAAGCAAATCTGTGAGTGTTTACTATTATTAGCGTTTTAAGTTCCACGGAGCAAAGCGTAAATAAATTTTCAAGCGGTAAAATATAACAAAAAAATACTGTTCTGATTTTTTACTACGCGAATAAATATAAGTTTATTGCTATAGTCGTATTTACAAATCAATATAATAGCGAAATTTCACAGGTCATTTAACGTTTCGATAACAATGTATTGCGAAACAAAAGAAAACGATCGCATCTTGTTATAAAATGTGTTGACAGCTAGCAAATTTCAACCAATAAATTACAGAAAGAAAAATGTTCTATATCTTCGATTTTACAAAATTTACGAGACTTTAAACATAAAAGTGTGATGAAAACTATAATTTATGATCTACAATTTTACTTATAAAAACATTCCAGAATCACATAAATATTTAGAAATCATGCTCTTTAGTAAGTATTTACATCATAAAAATAAGAAATTTAGTTTTGATGTAAAAAATACTTTATATGAGTTAAATCAGCAATTTTAATGGAGTAAAATAAATATTATAATATTTTCGAAATATTAAGTAGCAATGTATGATCGGAAATCGGTATGCATTTATAGCTTTCTGTTGATTACACATAAATATCTGCGCCATTAGTTTTTTTTAGCTTCTAAATTATGCAAAACAGTGTGATTTCTTTAAAGGAAACAAACTGCATACAGCATTTGTTAAACAAACTAAATTAACATTTATATAAACTACGATTACTTGCAACAATTTTATTAAACAATGAATTAAAAAAATATCTATTTTTGAATATGAAGCATATTTCTTATGAGACGACAAAAAAATGATTAAATTTAGGAAAGGATTATAAACAATTATCCTAATTTTTTCAACTGATGAAGGTTAATATGCATTTTAGAATCCTTGCGAGACGTGAAGTCAAAAGGAGTATACACATGGAAGGGGCTTAAAAAATTAATCAGGAAAAAAAATTATAATGGAATCAAAACTTGTCAAACAGTATCAAAAACTTGTCTGATTGAAGTAAGAAAAAAGAGAAAGATTTATCAGAAACAACAAGCTTTAATAAGTAATCAAACTGGTTTCAATGTTTTTAATTTTGTCTTTGATTATTATTTGACAAATTTAGGTTATTTCTAATCGCCAAATATTAATTTGCGAACCTTGCTTTTCTGTTATTTCAGATAAGTATTCTAAAAATATATATTTAGGGCGATGATTACGGAACACTTTTCATATAACCGTTACCAGCTACGTATTAAAATTTATTACTTGATTAATAGCTTCATTCGCTTCAAAAATAAACAAATTGGAAAGACCAATCGATATGCTTCAAGCGCTCAAAAATAGGCGTCAGTTTTCAAGACTTAAAATTAAGAGTCGCAAGTTAATATTTAACGATTATAAAAATAAATATGGGCGCCTATTTTTTGAGCGCTTTAAACATGTTAACTGTTAATTCCAATTTGTCTATTTTTTAAGCGAATGAAATGTTTAATTAAGTAATACTTTACAGTTTCAGTTTCTTGGGATAATTCATTTAATTAACATTTATTATTAGATTTATAATTAATAAAATCTATTCAATATTTTCTGAGTAAATAAATTTTCTTAAATTTAAAAAAAATATCATAATTTTTTGTAACTATTATCTATTTTTTTCAGCTAAAAATCCTTTCAAATTTTTAACAGTTTTTCTGCCAATAGATATTGATAATATTTATCACATTTAAGCTAATTTAATATTCGTTGAAAGATTTCTAATGTGACTTCTGGTTATAATCTCATTGGGTTAGAAAAATGTAAAATAAGAATGAAATAAAGCTGAAAAATGTTGTAGTGAAAGTGTTCGCGAATCTGTTTAATTTGATTTGAACAATTATGTATTAAAATAACTAAGTGCCGATACAGCAGCTTACAGATCATGAACATATTCCGTTTACGAAAGGGAAACTAGACAAGGCTTCTTGTTTCCGTCCTCCCCCTCCCCTCTTTCTCTCTTCGTGAATTCCAGACGAACCTCCCCATTTAAATATAAATAGCCTGTCTAACGTTAATGATTTCGGGTTCGTCAACTCTTGTTTTTCAGACACGAGTAAGTTAACTTAGCTAAAATATACATAATTTTCATTCGCTAGTCAACTTGGGCATAATGTGTTGTCAGCTATAGAAACACATACAGTATTTCTCTCTCAAGTGGTCTAGGTCAGCGATTCCCAACTATTGGCATTTTATTTTAAATAATATTGTAAAGGTAACCAAAATATTAAGTAAATAATGGATTAGTGATTGGATTTATATATTACAGGTGTCAAAAATAAACTTTAAAAAAAAAAAATTTTACTTTCGGAACAAGTTTACCTCCTCCACGGATCCCTAAGGTTCCGTGGAACACCATTTGGGAACCGCTAGTCAAAAGGTTTTGATTTTGTCAAGAAAGCATCAACTTAAAACTTTTTAGACTTCCTATAACATAACTTTTTTTTTTTTAACTGGAGTCTAATATAAGCACAGACATTATTTAAATGCAAAAATTCCTTAGAAACGATTAAACAAGTTTTGTAAGTTAACTTTCTTTGGGGCTTATTCGACTCTAAATTAGAGATACTATGACATCTTGTACGCACGATTAAAATAATGTTAATGACTTTAAAACCACTTTTAATTGGCAGACAAATATACTTTTTGAAAAAAAAAAAACACAAAAAATACAACTTAAAAAAATAATAATTTCAGATTTTTATAAAAAGAAGAAAAAAATACTGATCAAATAGAATATTTACCAGTATTCAAATGCTGGAATATGAATTTAAGCGATATTTAAACCGATAGTCAAGTTTTAACTTAATAGGTTAATTCGAAATTGAAAAATCTAGCACTCCAAGATAAAAAATATTTAAGGATAACATTTTGAATTAACTACTCTAGTTTGAGACGATTTCAGTTTAGAAACTGGGTGTCCGTCTTCAGAAAGTGAGTTTCAATAAATTTGCTGTAACTTTGGAAGTTTTTTGAATATTATCTTACACTCGTTGTCAAATTGCTCACACTAAAACAGGTAGTAACTTTTTTTCCTTCAGAAAACGTAAAATTTTGTTACGAAAACCCTTTTAGAAAGGACTTCAGTCCTGCAAACCCCTAAGCTTAAAAAAAATTTTAAAAATAATAACAATTTTTTAATTTTTTTTGATATAAATGCATTACCCTTACGACCAAAAAAAAAAAATTTTTTTTTTAAAGAAGTGAGTAAAAGATTTCGTAAATTCATTCAACCGAAGGGAAAAAAGCAACACAATGTCTCATTAAAACACTGAAAAGTTAAAGTAAAAGATAATAATTCAAAAGTTCTATTTTAAATACACAATACATGACTGAATGAATACAAAGATATCCTTTTTCTTCCTAAAAAATGAAAATACAATCGAATTTCAAACCATCTCGCATAATAAATAAGGATAAGAATGAATGATGTGTTGCCATTATCTTCACACTGGCCTTCGTGCATAAGAATTACAAGTGACGTAAAAACAAAATCTACCAACAATTTTTGCTTAGTTACATATTGCTTCCCACCATTTGAAATTTTTTTTTACGTATAGTAAAGAATATTTCAACGAAAAATTCCAAATTGTATGTAAAAATAATTTTTCAATAGACAAAAAGGACATAAATAAAATAAGTCTGTTCTGCATGCTTAGGGTGTCTTGTATTATATCATACTCAAATTTTATTCAATCTCCCTAAAATTTAGTAAACGCGGTAGATTTTTTTTTTTCTTTTAAGGAGGGATTACTTTGTTGCCTTAACTGAAGGCAGTCTTGTTACAGGAGCTCCACGTTTTTTTGTTTTTTTTTACTAAAACGTGAAGAAAGGTACAAATTTAGACTGATTTTGCTTCAAACACCAAAGTGATGACGTAAAATATCTCAGTGGTAGACTGATCATTGGTTAGAATCTATGACGTCTGGCTAACCGTGGGAGGTTTCCTTCGCGTAACGCAAACGCTGGTTGAATCTGTCAAAAAGTCCTCAATGAATATAAGCTTTTCCCAATATTTGATCCTAGAGTCCCCTTGTCTTCTAGATGGGGTTCAAAATTACAAGACTTACGGAGTGGAATATTAATAGTCGTAAGCTCAAGATTGTTCAGGTCGAGTGGTTGTTCAGGTCGGTCATAAAGTAAAACTCTTCCTGAAGGAAGGTGGAAGAATAAGGATATGCTCATTTTTGGGTTCCAAAAAGACGTGGGGGAAAATGTATTTTAAAAATAAATTACCAGAAAATATGCAAAATTCACACTTTACTGCTTTTTAAAATATTTGAGGGAAAAAATATTGCTATGCTACATCTATTCAGACTAAATATGAATAAAAGTAGTCGATCTTTGATTATAAAATCAAATCTATACCAAAATCTATACCAAATCGATATAAATCTATACCAAAATATAAATCTAAGCATATATTATAACATCAAACTAAATGTCCAATGACGATAAAATATATTTGATAATAACAGGGTTATTGACAAAAGTACATTGGAGGATAGTAATTTTTTTGAAGTTCCAAATTGTTAAGTAGTTTTGGGGGATATATATATATGTATATTTTTTTTAAAAATATTTTTAGTACTTATTGAAGTTCTTATAACCTTAAAATAGTTTAAAGTCTTCTTTTTCAATATTGGGAGAAGAGATTTTTTTTTTCCCAAGGTATATTTGATGGATATTTTAAATATTTTTTTCAATGATGTAAACTTTATCCATTTCCAAATATCTTTAAGGCATAAAACTTTTCAATAAAAAAAAATCAGAGATTAAGTTGGAAGGACTAAGCAGTTTCTAAAAAAAAATTATTGAGTCTAGATGGGAACTGCTAAAATAATGTGAGCTTTTCGCTAATTTTTTTTTTTTTTTTAAATAACTTCGCACTTCTAGTTCACGAAATGGCCACTTTCCAAACAGCATATATCACGAAATTCACATCTTGAAAAAGTAACGCGATATTGCATACGCGATCGAAAGTGCTGATTTTGTCTTCCTTTATTAAGTAACTTAAATAACACTTCTAGTTCACGAAATAGCCGCTTTTCAACTAACGTATATATCATGAAATTAATTACAATTCATGCCATGAAAAAGTAAACAGAATAGATAACTGAAAGATTTGCATAGAAGTAGTTAACTAAATAATTTATTTCAATAAAAATATTTTATTTTTGTTGTTTCCTGAAATGGGGAGGTTAAATAAAATTTAGGGCAGAGGCGTTCTATCTGCCCTCAAATAGTATCGGTCGTTACGAAGTCATTAAGAAAACTAGATCGAAACCCAAATTACACGATCGAACTTTCAGAATGTAATTGGTAAGAAAGGCATTTTAAAATCACTAAACCGTAGAAATGGAAACAATTATGGAAAAAGAACTGCGATTCGAAGGATTAAAAAACATTAGAATATGTACACAAAAAAATGTACTAAGACAATCAACACAAACCTAATCTTTTTTAAATTGTCCATTTTTTAAGAACCAAATTACTTTTAAATTAATTCAAAGTAATAAACAACTTAAAAATTTCTGTTTATACATTTTGAAGTCCTTAATTTCGGAAATTAATTCTCCCCTCTAGTAGTATACGTTCTTTTTCGGAGTGCAACGCTTACCTTGGAATGACATTTCATAATTCTTAAGACATTTAATTCAAAATACGATTTTATAGTAATTTTAAAAAAAAATTAAAAGGTTTACTGATAGCAATTTACTGAAACTGTTTTTACACATCCTCTTTTTATCAACTACAAAATATTTGAAAAGGTTGATTATTATAATATTAGCCACCTTCAATTGAAGTTTTTATTTAAATATTCGTATAATAATTTAAACTTAGATTATGCGTGCATGTGCGATAAATTTAAAAGAACTTATACTGTTAATAACATTACGAGGAATTTTAATGAAAAAAAACAATTTAAATATACTCAATTTTTCAAAGTAATAGACTATGTCGCTATAAAAGCATCGAATTTTAGTTCGCATAATTTATTTTTGCTATACATTTTCCGTGACCGTTATAAATTACTAATACAACTATTCACAAAAGCTTCGCTAAAAAAAAAAAATCTTTTTATTGGCACGTAAACATTTTGACAAAGAATATTTTGTCGGAATTTAAATATTACAATTTAAAAAGAATTAGAACTGCTTATCGTTTCGATAAATAATTAAAAATATAGCTTTTGAATGGAAAATTACTTAATAACTAAACTAAGCAAAATCAGCTAACGCAATTTAAGAAAGCTAAAACTTTAAAGCACGCTATATTTTTCTGACAAAATGTTCTAAATTAAAACAAAATCTTACTTTGCTTTGAGCATATCAATTCCCTCCTGAGGAACACCGGGTCGGGTAACTAGAACTTTTGGCCTGCTCATGACGGATTAATCTGTCAATACTCTTGGACTTCCACCTGATGAAACCGGCGCGTCTTTGACAAGTGAGGACGTAAGGGAAGTCACCTTAACAAGGTCATTTCCACACTCATGCGAAGGGGGCGCTGATGTTACGTGACGTCACGAAAGAATTAAAAGTAACACAATTTGAAAGCTGTTTCATAAGTTCCAAGGGCTTCAAACCGTAACGATAAGCAAGAGGAAGTCTAGCACAAATGCTAGTTTTTTTTTGTTGTTTTTTCAAAATTTATTTATTTAGAAGAACATAGCATTTGTCTCATAAAATTTACTCATAAACATAATAAAAAAAGCTTTCTTTGATTAATAAATAAAATAATAGTTAAAATATTTAAATAGTATGGGGTAGTATTTATTGATAATAACGAATATTTAGTCAAAAATAATGTATATAATAAATAAAATAATAAGACATAATATGATCAATACATCATTTTTGTTATAGTATTAAGTTTGTTCTAAAACAGCGCCAATTTTACATTAAAAGTTTGCAAACATTTAAAAAAATAAATGAATTTTTTAAGTTTAAAATAATAAGAAAAAAAATTTGATTTAAAGAAAAAATAAGATTATTTAAAATCCATTTAAAGTCCCGCAGCAGACTGATCGTTAAGACACGGTTCCCAGCAGATCACCGAAGTCAAGCATCACTGGCTGCGGTCAGTGTGCGGGTGGGAGACCACTTGGATCAGTCTGCGTAGGAATCGAGGGTGTGCGGTATGGGTCCTCGTTAAACTGTGCAACCGTAAAGTGCTCGACTTCGCGTGTAGGTCGTCGGGCTACCGAAGCGGGGGTGACATCCCCTCTGCAGAGGATCAAAATTATGATGTCATGTCTTCAGATCATCCTCAGGGATGTTTCCCAGACAGTCACCAATAGCCCATTGTGCAGCTCTAGTGTGACGTAAATGAACTACAACAACAACAAAATCCTTTTAAGATTGTTAAGAGTATACTTTCCATTTTCTCTAAAAGGAATTTGCAAGGTAAGTTGATGTGACTCAATAACATATTAAAAATCTAATGTATCTATCTATTGTATAAATAAATCTATTAAAAATATAATGTAAATACATCTTCTTCTTCATAAGCGCTACAGCCTTTCACAGGCCAAGGCTGACTCGCAGATTTTCCTCCATCTGGCCCTGTCCGGTGCGGCGGCCCGCCAACTATCTAATAATATTAGCCAATATTCATCCAATCTCCAATGGATTTTACATCATTCTTATCTGCTGTGTCCGACAAAAAATCGTCTTCACTTACATCCAAAGAATTCGAAATTCCTCACTTTTTAAAAGATTTTACAATAGCATTTGAATCTACATTTTGAACGCGCCTGCTTTCATCTAAATTAATGAATTAAGCAATAATTTCCTGTTTTTGTAAAAAAATTTTGATGTGAAGAATTTTTAACTTTAGATAATTTAGTAGACTAGTTCTTGTTTTTTAATTTTAGAAATTTTCATGCTTTTTTTTTTCTTAGCGGTTGACTTGCACACCCGACATAGCATAAATTTGCAATCTCGTAATCAAAATTAGGGGTTAACTTATACACCGGGATATACTTTATTTCCAGCTTTTATTACAGAGGTAAACTGATTGATTCCAGTTTTCAAGAATCAAGACTTGAATAGGGATAATACACAACAAGCTATAAACAACAATTTAAATCGCATCAACAATACATATGTCACAAAATAAGTTTACACAAAAACATAATTTTGCAATCAGCAATAGTTTTATATACTTAATTTATGTTGTGCATTCAAACGAAAACAATTTGAGGAGAGAAGAAAATAGCAACAAAAAAAGTAAGTACATATCCTATAAAAATTATATGTGGCAAATTTATCAACATGAAAATTGTTAGTTCTTTTGTGAATAAAATACCATAAAGAATTAATAAATTGGCACTTTTTATTAATTTATTTTTACATCAAGTTTGGACCAATTATTACAAAATATACAAAACTGCTACTACAATTGTACAAAATATCACAATTATAAAACAAGACAAAAAAATTATTTACAAAATAACAATGGAAGATAATTTTATTGCATAGTTTCACAACTAATACTTATTTATCTAAATTTAAACCATTGCACATCATTTATTTAACTATAAACTAAGTTGTCGTAGCTTTTGCCAAGCAGGAGAACTTTGCTAAACGTATCTCTAATTTATTAAAAAATATTCCTTACAAATCCAAAGCAACGATTCTAAAAAAATAATGCACGCAACAACGCATTATATTTGTGGAGAACATACGGGAGAAATATTGTAGATCAAATAACTCCGAGGAAATCTAAAATTATAAAAATTGATTACATCAATGCAAAATCACAATCATTCCTAAACAATGTCTGGTTGCGTTATATAATATCATGATATAATTCACATATTGATACACCTACCTTGAGATGAAATAAGTAATTCCAAATGTTTTGAAGAATTTCTAACATAAGACTGTTTATCATAAACCTTATAGAAACCTTAACAAAAACTTAATTCCTATCAATTTAAAGTGTAAATCAAACCCATCATAGATTAATTTAAATTCTATTAATGTATCAATAAATATAAACTATGACAATCTTAAATTAATTTTTATGAGAATAAAAAATATTAAGTACGCAAATTTTATATAAAAAAAAAAAAAATAGGCAGAATGAGAAAATTGACATTTTGTTTTTCACATTTAACACAATCCTTAAAAATAATTTTGACTATAATTGCGGGAAATCTTTTGAAGTAAGCCATCTTGAACCGTGGGAGCTCAGGGGATAGAGCACTCGCCTGCCAATGAGGTAAACCGGGTTCGAATCAAGGCAATGGCTGATTGACTCGGCACCCGGCTCGCCACCCACCACAGTGTGGATGTGAAATATCCTCGGTGGTACATGGATCATGGGTTAGAGTCCCCTTGCCGTCTGGCTGACCACAGGAAGTTTTCCTCTACAGGAAAAGCAAATGCGGGTTAGTTCCATCAATAAGTCCTCCACGAAGGCAAATTTCTCCCAATACTTAATCCAGGCGTCCCCTTGTCTTCTAGATAGGGCTCAAAATTACGAGGTTACGGAGTTGTGCATCGGTAGCCGTAAACCCAGAATTGGGTCGGCTGTTCAACGACGGTTATAAAATAAAATAAAAAAATAAGCCATTTTCAACACCTGTCACAAGCTGATTGAAAAAATTTATTACAATAGTTGATAACGACCTACCTGTTCGTTGGTCTTCATATGGGAGCTTTAGCCAGAAGTATAGGGAACTAACAATGCAATTATAACTAATTAATTTTTTGTACAAAATCTTTCATTTTGCTTTAAATGTTCATTATTCAATGCAATAATTCTAAGTCCCGCAGTGGACTGATCGTTAAGACACGGTTCCCAGCAGATCACCGAAGTCAAGCATCATTATCTGCGGTCAGTGTGCGGGTGGGTGACCACTTGGATCAGGCTGCGTAGGAACCGAGGGTGTGCGGTATTGGTCCTCGTTAAACTGTTCTACCGTAAAGTGCTCGACTTCGTATGCAGGTCGTCGGGCTACCGAAGCGGGAGTGCCATCCCCTCTGCAGAGGATCAAAATTGTGATGGCATGTCTTCGGATCATCCTCAGGGATGTTTCCCAGGCCAATAGCCCATTGTGCAGCTCTAGTGCGACGTAAATGAACTACAACAACAACAATTCTAAAAAATTCAAAAGAATATTGTCATTTGATGTAGCGTGCCTAATGGGTTAAAAATTATTCAAACATTACGTAAATAAACTTTTAATTAAGTTTCAATGTAACATTATACCTGACCTAAAATTGCTGCGTCATTGTAGACACATTAGCCGTGGAGAACTAAAAAAAATTATTTTTCCATAAGGTTTCTTTAAAAAAAAAAAAAAGTTTCTGAAAATTAAACTTTATGATTGTTTAAGGAAAAAAGGTTAATTTTTTTGGTGTTTCTTTGAGCTAATTTTAAATCGTCTGAATTTTCAGGTTTTGCCATAAAATAAGTTTTAAAATTAAAAACAGTGTATTTAAGATAACAATTTACATAATTAAGAAAAGTTATGCCAGTTACCAGCTACAATTAACAACAACAAATAGTTTGACAACAATATTTACATGTCAGTTATCAAGATATTAGATATGGCAGTATATTATTAAATAATACAGTAAATAAAGATTAATTATTAGAAAAATATCTATAGCTTACTTTAAATATAAATTAATTTCATCCTTCATCTTTAAAAGTAAGAAAATAAATTTTAATTAATTACTAGGAGCCTATATGTTATGGGTGGGGACAAGAATTAATTTCTTTACTTTCTGAATGAGTTCCACTTTTATCGAATCATATTATTTCTTTAAAAATAATATTTGTATTCATACTTTAAACAAAAATATAATTAGATTCCAAATAAAATTCCAATTTTATCGAATTTTATAGAATCATAATGTATTTTCACATGAAAAATAAGCATTTAACTGTTCAGTTTTATTTCTCAGCTAAATAAACAAAGATGAAACATTTTCCTCATCCAGCAAAAGCTTTCAGATAACATCGACCTTCAACCCAGCTCCCTAGAATGATCTAGGAGTTTTGAATTTACATAATTCTGACTTTTACACACTGAACAAGTTTTAGTGTGCAACACTGAAAATAAATCAAGATTCAAAGATAATTGGTGTATTTTTTATGATTTAAAAATATATTACATATATATTAGGTCACAGGCAATCTTTGTTCTAAGTTGCAGGCAAACAAAATCAATTATTATGATAAATTGAGACAAAAATCTGGATTTTTTTTGTACTATATTTCTGCTACCATTTGTTCCACGTTGTGACTCATATTAAATAAAATGAGCAACTAAATCATTTTTATATAAAATTTGATAAAATTAAGCATTTAATAATAACAATATTACAAAAATAAATTTATTACAAAATAAAAAGCATTAATTTTATAAAAATAAGTTTTGCTATGAAATATAAAACTATACATAACAACTATACTACAAACTATTACACGGTACAAATTTAGGCTTTTGATTTCAAAATAAAGCTTGATACATATTTAGTATTTTTATAGGAAAGGGTAAAAGACATTTCTTCATCTAAGCATTTGAATCTGGGAAACGGCGTTACGTGTTTGCAAAGAAAAGCGGTTGGTAATTACTTCATTTATAAACATCTTAATTTTTATGTAATGTTTTTTAAAGAAATGATGGTTACTCTGGTTTTTATACAAACCAAATTTTAGCCTTTAAAAAAATAATAACAATTTTAGTGAGAGAAAAAAAAAAGGCATCTCTTTCATTCTATGGTTGAACTTATGTTTCTAAATTAAATATCTTTTATTTTAAAAATTAAAAAAAAAAAATACCTTAATGAGACAAAAAATGTAATTTAAAGGAACTGTTTTTGTTCAAAACCGTACATAAAGATTACAAAAGTTCAAAATGATATGTTGGGATTAGAAAAAAAAACTGAAAAAAGTATGTGGAACAAGGTTTAAAACCACACCTTACTGAAACAAGCGAAGAAAAACAAAAATTTAATGACCATGTTTTTCTTTATGTAATTTTAAACAATAACTTCTTCGAAACCCTTGATGGCAAACTGAACAAACATAAGGCTTCAGTCCGCGATGAATAAGCATATGATACTGTAAATTATGTTTTTGAGTAAAGCCTTTATTACATACTGTACACATAAAAGGTCTTTGTCCAGTATGAGAAGCAGTATGAGACTCAAATTTCCCTTTATGAAAAGTCTTGTAATCGCAAAAGGAGCAAGAATACACTTCATTAGTTGGACTAAAAAAATCTTCTATCAGAGAGGTGGAGATTGAATTAACTTCGTTTTTGCCAGCATTTAAAAGGCCTAAAAAAAACAAATATTGTAGAGTAACAGTGCAAAATTTTTTAACATGTTATAATCTTAGATTATCGTAAGAAATATTGTTGGTTTTGCTCATTTAATAAACTAAAATTTAAAAATGGCAAAAATTAAAATGAAACATATTTAAGCATTACGCTATTGTGCTGGTGTCTCAAGATCAGAGATTCTCAAACTTTTACCATCATAAAGCACTTTTGAGATTAGGAATGCAAAGCCGAGCATTAAATTTTATCTTACTGCCATGAATAGAAATTTATTAAATTAAACACCAAAACAGTCTAAAGACGGAGTCGTCCTATCATTTAAGCTTGCGGCACACTAGATTTCATAATTTTAAAATTTTTATTTTGGGATCCATTGCATAATGCACATGAAAGAAAAAAATTTTAAATGGATTCAGGACAAATGTTGCTGATTCATAATTTGCTATTTTATTGTTTTGGCACTATTTGGTTTCAAAAAAGTCTAATTTAATAAGAAGGAACTGCATATTTGACATTGCCTTTTTGCTCGAGTATGTTTTGTCAATTAACGGGTAAGAAACTGAAATATTAAATGTTGATTTTCATTCAGTTTCATCTGAACAGCGATAAGCAATTGATACCTGATTCTTTTTATTATTATTGCCCACTGAGGGCTCAAAAAATTATAATAATCAGATATTTTTCCAATATTTTCATTTTCTTTTTCTTTAAATTTTAAAGTTTAACTCTAGACAGACTAAAAACTGCTGTATACCTAAAAAGACAAAAAAACACAGTGTGGCCCTTCTTAAAATATTCTTAGAGTAGATCTAAACTATGCATCTAAATAGACGGTAAAAAATGATTTATTAAAGGTATAGTAGAGATTATCAGAAGTGTGTGGGATTTCCTTTTCTACTTGGGTTAATATAAAAGTCCTGATTAAATGGAGGAGTTGTGACTTTTTCTAATTTTACCAAAACTTTGTAGCTTGGGGATTTGAGTTTCTACTCCTTATAAAAAATAATAATTATGTATATGTTTTTGAAAAAATTAACTGAAATACTACGTTTTAGTTAATGAAACTGAAAATTTCTAACACTAACCTACTTAATTTTGTTTATTTACTGTTTTCATAATAATCAATACATCCTTTAGCAACAACATTTGCCACAATACCAGACTAGCATGCATACCAAGTAAGATTTCCTTTCTTTTTCCTCTACCTTGGACATTGTTTTAAGTGCATTTTTTATGATAGCCCAGAACCATGAAGCTCTTTATAATTTCTGTGACAAAGTTCCTCCTTTCCGGCTTTTTATAAAGCATTTATAGCTGATATATCCAAAATTATAATTTTAAAAAAGTGTTGCAGCGATTATAAAAAAAACTATAAATTTCGCCAATACCTAACAAAATAATTAAGTGCCACTCTGGCTCCAGCCATCTTTCTAATAAGTTTCCATATTCAATTCTTTCAAATAAATTCAATTTCTTTCTAATTAGTTTCAACATTTACAGTCCCATGAGACTAAAACCTAAATAGTTAAATAAGCACTTAGAGTCACATAATAAATAGTCAGAAAATTGCATTGCTTTAAATGAGTTATTTTTGGAATGATTGAACAAAAAAGAAAAAAAAAATAGAGGGACTACACAGACACTTCCGTGTTTCAAGTGTTAAAATATTTTTAGTAATTTTCTTTTTAATTTTAAAAATGACTTCGTTTTTTTAGGTAAATGTTTTATAAAGAACAGTTTGAGAATCTCTTTTGTAGCATTATTGTTGAGATTTTTTCAACTCAAAATTAGCTTTAGGTATAAAAAAAAAGTTATAAGTTAAAGAAATTTAATACTGTGAACATAATGATTACAAATTTAAAAAGCACATCACACAAATTGTATTTAGAAACACTTTACAGAATTGCTGTTATCATTCAAATAGTTGCTTTTTTTAATTATACTATAGAACATGTAATAATAATTTTTACCGTACTGATTAATATTAAGTTATGATAAAAAGAAATCCTAGCATTAATTTAGAGAGAACCTGCCTATTAATTTAAACTGGTAACAAGATAAAAAATTTAAAATTACAATTTTACTGTGAATTCACTTGTTAAAAGAAATAGAAATTGCTGGTATACAATTAAAATTTCTTACATAGGCATAAGTTAGGTTCCAATTTACCAGACATAATATAATAATTAAGAAAATTAGAACACATGGAATAACAAAAAATAAATTTAAAAAAAAAAAAAGATTAAGAGAAATGTTGATTTTATTAATTTTGAGACAAAAAAAAGTTTTGCAATAGGAATGCCAATAGTATTTTATAATGGAAAACAAAATGTAATGGTAGAAACTAAAACATAATAATTAATAAAAAATGCCAATGCATTAAAGGTTTACTTATCAATTAAAACGTCAAAAATATCATGTAAATGCTTTTGATTTTAAAGTAAAAAAATACCAATAAATAAACATAACCAATAAAGCTATAAATATTAACAACTAGTAGCAAACGAAAAGGAAGAGAAAGGAAAATTTATTTAAATATTTCGTACTAAATCTAGTAGAAATAAGTTTTTATTACCATATTAGAGTTGACTTGTTTTAGCTTAAGAATTCTCATGGCACATAAGGAAATTAGTAAGAAAATGAAATGAAATGATCAATTAACATTATTTATTAGTAATATATTTCCTTTAACAGATATTTGAACCTGTGCTCTGATTCTGATGCGAATTTTCAGTTTTTTTTTTTTTTTTTTTTTTTTTTTTTTTTTTTTTTTTTTTTTTTTAAATAAAGTTCACTTAGTTTTTTTTTAACTTAGGAATTTTCAAAGTAAATTCGAAAAACTTACGGATTTCGATAGAACGCAAATTTATCCACAAAATTAGCTATAAAAATGTTTTTTAAAAAAAGGCAGGATTATTTATGGATATGCCAGAATGTGCAGTACAATTTAAAAATTTCCGAATCCCTGTTTTGGACACAAAATGCAGTTTTGTAAACAATGGGAATCTATTTATAAAGTACAAATTTGAAATTGTAAAAAATTTAAATTTTAATGTATCATCATATAAAACAAGTTATATAATAAAAGAAATATTCAACTTTGCATTATTTCAAAAATGAATGTAAAAAGTTCAAAAAGATAGAAAAAGTTCACTACTCTGCAATCAGTTTAACAGTTACAAGAAGTTTTTAATAGTTACAATTATCTTTTTAACAACAATAGAATACAGTATAAATTATATAATATGGTTCTTTATAATTATTATTTGACAAAAATACATATACAAACACATGTGTTTAATAAAAATAATAATATATATAAATACTTATTTCTTAACTTGAAGTATTAGATGCTCTTTTTAAGATTATGATGAAAACATGAAATTTAGGTTATGGTTATTACTATATACAATTAAAGCAAATATTATAATTTATTTATTGAAACAAATTTATTAAAAATACATGTTTACAGTAAAGAACAATTCCCATTTTGTTTCTGCAAAAAAATTTTTGAATGCTTTAAATATATCACACTATTTAATTATACTAATTACAGTCCAAGTTCAGAGGTCAATAATTTAATATAATTTTATAAAGTTGGTAGATACCTATAAAGGATAAGTTACATTCTATGATAATCTAATAATGGTAATAGCCATAAGGATACTAAGTACTAGCAATAGAAATATAAACAACATGAAAGAAAATAGAGAATTAGAGTTTCCATATAATATTTTATAATAAGAGCTATTTTACATAATAATATATATTAGAGTATAAACAAATACTTAATTTATTAAATTTATTTTGTAAATAAATTGTAAGAAAAAAAGTAAATTTTTTTTAGAAATAATATAATATAAAAATCAAATGTAAAATATAGCTAAATAATCCTTTCTTATAAGCTGCATCAAATGACAAAAACAGATGTGTTTAAATTTCTTCACACTCTTTAAAATAAGCATAAACAGAAAAAAATGAGCTATGAAAACACAGAAATTCGAATAAATCATTTACTAAAAAAGTTATTCTGGCAAAAAACAAGCAATTAACAGTCACACTCATTTATTATAAGCTCTAATTTTATCAGATCCTGGGTCTCAAAAAGAAATTTTTAATAAACAGTTTAATTAATATTCAAAAAAAAAAAAGCTTACATAAAATTCTGTTAATAGGAGCAGAACTTGGATTAGACAAGAAATCCTTTACAAACATATTAAAAATCATTTCATTGAAAATGTCTGAAAAAAACATGACTTTTTCTAGAAATTTCATTTTTTTCCTAAAGGGTTTATAAACAACCCTTCAGTCCAATTTGTTTAAAAATTGTATGCAGAAAAAAGAGAAATGTGGGGTTAATCACATGTCTTGTCTTGAATTGCACAACTAGTTAAAACTATGGGGTTTTAAAAGCAACTGTTGATAAAAAAAAAAATAGATGATATTACAAAAACTAAAAGAAGATGATGCTATGAAAAGCATTGACATTGAAAAAGCTAGATATCTTGCTGTTACCATTGCTAGTGTATCTGTGCATGCTTTAGATCAAATGCTAGAAAAATGGGGAATTTTACAGCAATGTGAAAGAAACAATTAAATTACCAGCTTCTAAATCCAAAAATTGTCGAGAAATTGCAAACTTAATTAAAATCAATATTAGTCGATGATAACGTATTTCGCACCATGCATGTTGAAACGTCAAAGCTATTTTTTTTTAAAAAATAATAGTCAAAGTTTTTGTGCATAATTTTTGTTTTTGATAATTTCGACTAACTCTGTTGTAAAAAATCTATGAAAATTTTAAAACTAACAAATGCAGAATTTAAATATCAGTAATAAAACAGAGAATTTTATACACATTCATTTTGCTCATTTTTTTATTTATTTATAATTTCATAACAATATTTTTCATAAAAAAAACTGCCTTTTAAAAATAAATATGACATTCTAAATGCATAAGGATCATATATGGCAGTACTTTTACTTTCGTTACTTGTACCGCCGGAACAAGTAAAAAGTACGTACTTTTACTTGTACTTCGTTACTTTTTAAATTTAGTACTTTTACTTGTACTTTCGTTACTTTTTTAGGGAAAAAGTACAAGTATTTGTAACGGAAATATCGAACGAAATCGTTACTTTTTTTCTAAAACTCGGTAAGCTTTCTAAAAAAAAAATATTAAATTGAAAAAAAATGCTTATGTTTTTTTTTTAATTAACAAAATTAATGTGCAATATACATGCATTCACAGCTAACTTCGTGTTTAAATACCTTCTGTTTCAACTTATACTGCACATTCAATTATTTTTTACTAGCTCAAAGATCACAAAGCTATCTGAAACCCTGTGTTTGCTTTGTTTACGTTTGTGCTTTTGAAACGCGTCTCTAAAGAGTAAAACAATCCTAAATCAATGGTAATTTAAATAAATAAAAATAATAAGCTAAAAATTAAAATCAATAGATAAAATTTCTTTTTCGTGCAAATCCATAAAAAGTTTGAAATTAAAACTATATTTGATTTTAAAATTATATTATACGATTATATTATAAAATTATATTATAATATTCTTTCGAATTTAAAAATAAATTTAAATCCATAACTTTCAAAATTAAAAATAATTAAATAAATGACAACAATTTGGCAAAAACTTTAAAGAGCATAAGAATATTATTCAATAAAATTTTAGGTTACTTTGAATTTTCGATTTCCTAGAAATGTACTTTTAAATCGTTACTTTTTTTGCTTAGTACTTGTACTTTTACTTGTACTTTTTACTCGTTACTTTTTAAAATATGAACTTTTTACTTTTTACTCGTTACTTTTTTTAAAAATACTTGTACTTTTACTCGTTACTTTTTAAAAGTAACGTTGCCATATATGATAAGGATTGTTCAAATAAAAAGAGAACACACAATATAACATGAAAGAAGATAAGAGGAGCACTGCCGACTGTGTAAAACTAACAAACCAGTTCACATGAGAGCATTTATAGTGAACGCTAAGTCAAGTTAAAAACACATGTCCAGAACAAAATAACATAAAGTATTACAATTTTAAGCGGCAGAATTCACTTTAAACATTTCTTAACTCATGTTAGAAAATAAGGGTAACTCTCCAATTACCTCTAATCAAAACATTCAATTAATTAAATCAACTGCATTTGATGTTAACATTTAAAGGATTAAAATGACACGAGCTAAATATTAATAAGACACTAATAACAATTTTTAAATTATTTAAGCAACAAGAAATCTAGGATTTAAGAAAAACATTACACTTAACTTTTAAATTTTTATAAGCTAATTATTTATTTTAGTTTTATCTTATTCTACAAAAAAAAATTTTTATACATACTACTAGATTATTTTTAAAATCGTCTTTTACCTGTTTTAAGAAAAAGAAATTATAGGTTTAGCCCCAGGATATAGAGTGCTCACCTCTAATGCAGACAACCTAGGTTTGATTCTTGACTCTCACAGCTAAGAACAGATATTTTGACTACAGTGCTCTTATTGCTCTTTGGCTAAACGTTAGGAGATTTTGTTTTCTCTCTATACTCACAGATACAGATTATTTTTAAATGAAAAAGAAAATAAAAAAATTCAATTTGATTAATTAATTATTTTCCTCCTTAGTTTCGAACAAAATGGAAGTTGTTTGTTTAAAATTACAAGGTTACAGGAGATACCAAATATTGTAATTAAATCCACAATGAAACTTATTAATATACAGTAAGAAGTATAAAGAAAGTAACAATAAATTTCAGTTAAACCAATAGCTTTTAGGAGTAGGGTACTAAGTGCACTTTATTTTTCATTTGGTTAGTTGAACAGATTATTCATTTTGAACACAAACCACAAGTGGCTTACTTTAGGTAGCTTATTAGACAATTTTGTAGCAAATGTAATGACTTTCAATAAAAAATGCTTCATTTCATTTTGCTTTATAGCTATTATAAGCTGTAAAAGTATGCATTCAGATAATATATGGTTCTACCAGTTTTAGTAACATGAATGTCATTGTAAAATGCTAATACTATCATAGCAAGAACCTTATAGAAAAACAAAAGCAGTATTAAAAAATTTATTTTATTTTGAGTAAAATTTTTAAACTGATTAAAGTTAAACTTGCTTTTTTTAATAAAAATAGTAAAGGAAATCAAATTAAAGTCTTTAGGAAATTACAGCACACTTTTAACTTATAACCAATGTGTCACTCATGTTATATAAGCCAGAGGTTTTCTGGGACGAAATAATCTATAAGCATTAAATTAGTTTTTTTTTGCTATTAAGTTAACTTTGAAACTAAAAAAGGAGAAATTAAATTTTATGTATTTAAACAGTTAACTAAAAAAAGAAATCTCAAGTCAAAAAAATTATTTGAACAATGTTTGAAATATAATGGAAAATTGAAAACTTAATAAAAGTAGTTTAAAAAACAGATGATCTAGTTTCAGAAAATGAAAATAAATACATTAAAAATTTATTGACAGTTGTGTATATAATAGCAGTCACAAGAATTTTGATTAATCTGGATGAGAAGCCATATGGGCAATAAGTGCATTTTGAGTATTGAACATGCTATCACATACTCTACAAATAAATTTTCCAGGGTGGGAGTGTTGTAAAGCATGAAATTGCAAGGATTGCTTAGTTGTAAATCTCTTTTTGCACACTGAACATTGAAAAGGGCGTTCTCCTGTATGTTTTCGCATGTGCACTTTTAAATTAGAATTGTAAACAGTAGAGTAAGAGCAATAAGAGCAGTTATAAGTCTTAACAGACTTTTCTTTTATTTCTAGAAGAAATGAAGTTTCACTATCATTCTTTAACAAACTACCTAGAAATAAAATGTGTTATTAATAGAATTTAATATGCATAATTGAGAGTAAACATTAAAAAAAAATTATTATTTAAAAACATTAAAATAAAAAGCAATGTCAAACATTTAGAAATCAAAACGTATGAAAAAAATATCTGTATGCAAATATTAAAAAATGTTACTAAGGTATTAAATACATTCAGAAAAAAGATTTAGAGTGCATTTAACTTTTACTAATTTGAATTTTCACAAATATTTTTCGATTTTAAGCTCAAAATATCTCAAATATTTTCATTGAAGCTTCATTCAGAATAAAATCATGGGATTTAACTTTTGCATTATGCATCTTTTGCATTATGCATACAGTTCTTATTCCTTCTATAGTTCTTAAGTACTCAAGCTTAAGTAAGAAATAAAATAAGGATTTTTGATAAATTTTAAAAGTTTAAGAAATCAATCGACAAAGGATAATTGTAATATATTTCCGAAAGTATTTTTAGTAATTTTTAATTAATAAGTAATAGGCATTATCTTGGAAAAAATATTACACATTTCAGACGAAACAGGGTTAATTACAGGTTTTTTTTTGGTAAACATCACAATAATTAAATTATTCAAATTAAAAATATAAGGCCATCACACCTTCCCACTGGTAACAAGTCATCTGGCATACATCTAAAAAATATTAATAAAAAAAAATTTAAATGGAAAAAAAAAGATACATCAAATTCTTCAATGATTGAAACAAATAGTGGCAATTGTCGAACTGAATAAGCCTTCTTTACTCTGCACTTACCCTTCATGTCTATCACTCTATGTTTATTACTTTGCAGCAAGTAACATTCTTTTATTGTATTTTATTTAACAGTAAAGTATTCCCGCAACAACCCACTGTGCGCCAGGAAAGTTGTGATTCTATTATTTTCTGACCAATTGCATAGGTATGGGAAAAGAAGCACAACTGGCCTTTACTTCCCAACCAAGCCAGTACCCACTGATCTGTAGCTGGGTGGGCTTCAAGGCACCACTGGGGTTTGTACCAGTCCTTCACACTGATAGCTCAGTCCATCAACCACTAAGTTATCACAACTCTTTCTAATGGTAATATTTTGTTCATTTATGCTGAGAAAGTATTTTGAGTCTGGAGAATTGCTTATTTCTATAACCTTCCTTAGAAGCAGATCACATTTATTTAAAAGCATTCTATTTAATCCGGGTTTCTCATGAATGGGGAAATATTGCTAAAATATAACAGAATAAATTAACTGGTGATATGATCAAAGTTTTTAGATTCAGTAATAAAAAGACAATCTTTTCACTGAATCTACTAGTTCCCTACAATTAAGAACAAGCACCATGGGTGATCATATGTCTATTTGCCAGTTTTAAGTGATATAAGTTTAATTGCAAGATAAAAATAAGTATAAGAAATTAATATTACACTTCCAATATGAGTTTAGATTTTATCAATGCGTCTTTTACCTTCGTTCTTGAGCTACATAAGAGGCAATTCCTTAAATCCATTTCGTAGAACCGTTCAGTTAAGAAGTTTATTAATTTTTTAACTTATGATTTTGGTTGATTATTAATTTTCTGCTAGTTTAGTTCCGTTTAAAAGGAACCAATTAAAGGTAAGCAGTTTAAAAGGAAGCCTGTTGTATTAATTTAAGAAATGGGATGATGTTAAATGTTTTAAATTCTTTTTATTAACATCACTGAGGACATTTTTTTTCAAAGAAAAGAGCCGATTTCATATTGGGGGAATACACTCAGTTAATTCTAACAAATAGTGGACCCGATTAAAATTGATTGACAAGTTCTTACATAAATAAGTTAAATTTCATCTAATCTCATATGCATTGAAATGTGAATATTCTTTATATCATTTTCTAATTTATACTTATAAGAACTATTTAATCAAAAATAGTTTTTCAATATATTCATTAAACAATGTATTTTGTTTATAATATATATTAAAAAATGCAAAGAAATACTTTTTAATAGGTTTAATATTTAGTTAAATGTAAAATGAAATTAAAATTTTTTTTTCACATTTTTAATACCAGATGCAAATTTTCTGCAAGAATACATACTTTCATAAATTAACAAAAGTATTAATCAATTGTTTTTAAAATGTCACACACAACAACATACAAGCAACAATATTTTCCAACAGAATACTTAACATAAAAAAAGTCTATGCAACACAAACTTAATTTAACACTTCAAACCATACAGATTATCATGGCTAGTAGGAGATGCCAAAAAAATTGATGACAATTAAACCTAAAAAAATTGCACATTTTTATAGCAACAAAAATCAGTACCTATTTTGAAAAAAATATGTATAAGATATTTTGATTTATATCTCATATTAATCCCTACTGACCTTATCAGTAAGCACAAGTAAATAAATTAAATAATTAATTATCAACCCTAAGCTAAGTTCAAAGTAGGAGCTGGAAAATCTCATTCCCTTCATATTTTTTTCATCAAGAAGCATCATTCAATAGAGAAATGTTTCTATTAACTTGTTCAAATAGATTGGTTAGGAAGTATGGTTCAAATAATGAATTTTTAATCTTTGGTTTGTTTTATATTTGTTTCCACAAATTGAGCATTCATAAGGACGTTCTCCAGTATGTTTTCGTAAGTGCACTTTTAAATTTGTTGAATACTCAGTTGAATAAGAACAGAAGGAACATATAAAATATTTTCGACCTCTATTTTTCAAATCAGAGGGTAGTCTCTTGGAAAGATGGTAAATTTCTGAAATGAATAAATTAAATGTTAAAGTAATGACACATTTAAAGTACAACTTATATTAAGACATTTATAATTTGATATATTAATAAAAATGTATGAAATATATTTTAAATTTGATTCACTATAACACTTCTGCAATAAACATAGTTTTTAGTAAATAATTCATAAAATTTATTCCACACACTGAAAAAAGAATATAATTTATTTTCATTTACAGGACTTACTATAAGTTGGTATCACAATACTATTATCTAAATTATTATTACATGTGACCATTAATTTCCAGGGTTTATTTAACAACTCTTGAAGATATTATGCGAATTATATAGCCTTTTAATATGTTTAGAAGTAACCTTCACCAGGTGTAGTGTACTTCTATACTCTGTAAAAATTTCAGGAACAACTTTTATAGTTCTCATCCAGAGTACCCTTCAATTTTGACCATAGGGTATAAGACCATGGCATTCTAACTTCTCGTTCTTTAGCAAATATTTTGATTTCAGGAGTTGTGGCGATAAATTATTGATGATACTCATGAGACAAAGTTCTTTCAGATTTTTGTTTCAGAAACTGAAAAAACTTGCTAAAGGCGTCATGTTTTAGGATGTCTAAGTCACTCAGAATACCCTAACATTAGAATTGAAGAGCATTCTGAAAGAAGACTTTAAAATCTGTTGCTGAAATTTTTACAGTTGAGTTAAAAAATACATAATATCAGCAGTAGGTTACTTTGAAAAATATTAGATATGTGTGTAATTCACTTTTTTTCCACAAGTTATTAAATCATACTGAAAATTAGGATGCACCTAATATACTCAATAAAATAAAAGGATTAAAATATTATAAAAGTAAATCCTGATTCCTTCTATTATACTAGTTATAACTTAGTGAATAAATTTTCTTTCAATTTATAGAGTCAAAATTATAACAAGCAAACCGTATTATAACAAGAATCAGTACTAAAAATTAGGATGCACCTAATATACTCAATAAAATAAAAGGATTAAAATATTATAAAAGAAAATCCTTACCTAATTTCTTACATTACACTATTTTGAACTCAGTGAAAAGGATTAAATTTTCCTTCAATTTTTAATAATATACATAAGTCAGAATTATAACAAGTAAATTAAGCTTTTTTTTAAAAAAAAAATACTCTACCCTTATCTTGAAACTTTCAGATGACATTATGCTTAAAAATTTTACTATAAAAACATTTTAAATCATACTTTTTTTTAAAAGCATAAAAAAACAAATTTTTACATGAACCATGAAACTTAAACTGAATATCAGACTTCAATCTTCATTAATTATACAACTAGAAATTGGTTTTAGTATGCATTCTTAAGTGAAATTTTAATTTTTGAACATGTTTGTTTTTGTTTTCACAATGAACACATTAAAAAGGATGATACAGTTGAATAAGAACAGTAAAAGCATGTTAGGTGCTTCTCAACTTAATTTATTACTTCACAAGTAGGCTTCTTAAAAGTAATGACACTTTCTGAAATAAAAAAAGTAGAATTAATTGATAATTAAATTAGTATAATAATTTCAGAGACATAGCTTGTTAAGGAGAATTAAATTTAATGTTCTAGCTTTTCCTAAGCAAAATTTGTCTTAGAAAAATAGCAATTTAGTCTCCTTTTAAAAAAAAAAAAACTTTCAATAGAAACATAAAGCTTATTAAACCATTGTTGTTGTTCCATTTTTCTTTTCTGTTTTTTTTTTTTTTAAATTTTAATGCATCATTTTTAAAATAAAGGGGAAAAATAAGCATTTGATAGTGTTGCAAAATTCAGCACATATTTTTAATTAAATACCAAACATTTATTAAATAAAGCTGAAATTATAGAATCCAGATTAAATATCTAAACACAATATATTGCCTGCATGTAGAATATTACACAATATTAAATGTGCAAAGTGCAAAAATTTTATGTCAGGGGAATTATTTTTAAAACAAGACGTGGTCATAAATTCATATTCATAATAAACAGAACTAAAATTTATTAACTCCCTATTTTACAGAAGTTTCAGAAACGTGAATTACAATAAGCAATAAAATAATACTTTTTGCATCCAATTAAAAATAACATGTTTAAGAAAACTAGAACATTTTATATTGACAACCATTGAACTGATAGGTAATCTACAATTGGGAGATTTCCTATAGTGATGACAGATTTTGGAAATACTTAAAAATTTTATTTATGATATAAAATGTACTATTTGTACATGCAAACAAAACGAGTTTTTCGCAAAATATTTTTTCTATTTTTCCCTTGGAAGTAAAAGTAACATCATGTGCTGTCTAAAAAGAAAAATAACTTTAGATTAGTCATTTATGAATAATCATAATTCCAGAGGAATGATTTGATAAAATTTATTTACTTCCCAGAATCTAGTTTTTAGAAAGATAATTTTTTTACAATCTCTTAAAGGAAAATAACAAATTCAGTAAATTTAATTAGTGTGACAATATTTATATTTTGCCTTGAATACTAGATCAAAAGTTTTAATACATTTTTCAGAAAATATAACTTCATTTATGTTTTTAATTTTGTAAACCAGATAAATAAATATTATTATCACAGTAATTGTTCATTAAATACATTTTAAATCGAAAATAAAACATTGGTAGAACACAAACCAGATATTCAATAATCCAAATGAGTAATCAGTTAAGGCCTGATGAGCTAAAGTCAAGGATATATCTAAATATTTTGAATATTAGTTTTGGACTTAAAATCTTTAGTTGATACTCCAACAAAAACATCAAAAGGCTGTTCAAATCTACTTCCGTGGGGGATTGTCAAAGTATACTTAATATTTAATGAAGCATTATGCCATTACACTGATTGTTGCATGCATGACAAACAAATACACAATTGTAAATAGAGATTAGGTTCAATCATCTTTGAATTTTTCTTTACTGTGAACATACAAATACATAACATATAAAAAATAATTCAAAAAATTTCAGTTTCATTTCAAGTCAACTATAATTCTCAAATGACATTTTATATACATATAAACATAGGTAATAAACTTTCAGCTTCTATAAATTATGTTAAATAAAATATTAATTAATTTATAGAAATTCATAACAATAATAAATAGAAACTTAATATAGTGTTAATTTGTTTTCATTGAAACAAGCTGAATAAATAAATATACAATATAACTTTCAGTTAAGGTTGCATGAAATTTTTGCAAATATATATATTTTGTTAATTGCTAAGTTTCAGGCAATAAGAAAGATACCTGAAAGTCAAATAACATTAAATACTGTAGTTATTTAATTTTAAGGTTAGCAACAAATTATTTTCCAGTTTCCTTACAATGGTTGTTCTGTGGTGATGTTTTTCATTAAAAATGTTCTTTTGAACTAAAAAATGTACACAGGAGAAGAAGTTTTAATTACTTTTATAGTTGTAACATAAACCGGCCCCCTGAGTTTAAAGGAAAAAGCAAGATTTAGAGGTGTAGCAGAATAGGTTCTGTTTGAAATGGGTTTAACATCCACCTCTGCCTCAACCACTAATAGTAAAGCGGAAGATAGTTTTTTCTTTCTTTTTAAGATTATAATTGGTCTATTGTTGCATTTTTTCACTATTTATTAACAGTGCTGCATTATTTATCAAGTTATTTCTTTCAGAATTCATTTACATAATCTATATAGATTATGTAAGCATATTTTGAGATAGTGATTAACGAAGAAATAAAATGGAGGAGCAGGAGGCAGTGCACAGAACTAACAATCGGTTCAGATGACATAGCTCCTTGCTATCACTTTGCTCCTTAAACACAGGCAGTGAAGCTTAGTACATACAGTGCTCTGTTATGGCTGTTTTTTTTAAAGGCCCTGTGTCTGTAGTCTCATAAAATTATACTTTTTTGCAAATAATATGCTATTTAAATAACTGATGTGAGCTTTCAACAATTACTCATGACCATAAGGTCAAGTTTAGCTTATCCTTAGCTAGTACTCACTATGTTACTTTTAAAAATAGTTCAAAAAAAGCCACAGTTTTGATAAAATGAAAAGCGTTTGTGGTCTAATTTTTTTAATATTTATAAAGTTAATACAATGCTGCCCTATCTGGGCTCATAAAAATTTGCAAAAACTGAGAATAAGGCAGTGATTTTGGTAATTTTCTTCTAGGAGGAAAAATGTTACCAAATTGACGATTTTTAAAAAAAAGTTTAATAACTTTTAAAATATTTTAATTATTTGTATATTCGAAAAATCAGATAATTTTTTACAGCAAGATGCCATATACAGTTTAAAATGGTAGCTTTGCTTCAAATGTAAGGTATTTAAACTACAGCTTTTTTATTTACCTTGGCGAAAGAGTATCGAAAAGCCTCGTTAAAGCTGAGTATGTTGCTCAAGCTGTAAACAGTTTTTCTGGTACAGCATCCCGTACAGAGCTGTTCACCGGTTTAGTTATGTATTTGAGGAGCTAGACTTCTTCTCTTTCCAACATTCTTTGCCTTGAACAATCAGGGCTTATTGAACAATACAAAACAAGTGTTATTGAACAATGCCTTTTTATACAAAATCGGTTAAGAAGTTTTGCATGTAATTCTCAGTGAAATTAGGAAAAAAAAAGAAATTATATCAGTTACAGGTGGTTTCTATGACCTGCAAAAACATATCTCCAGAAATAAAAAAACAATAGATGATAAATGAAGAAACCATAATAGATTTTAGGTTAAAATTTACAATTTATTAATTTTACGTAATATGCTTTCAAATTTATTCGCACATTATTCCTATCATAACAAAAATTGCAAGATGTATGAAACTTGATTGACGTATAAAATACTTCACTTGTAAGTAAAACAATCTGTAAAACAAATTAAAGTCAAAACATTAAGCTCAAATGAATTAAACACAAAATTAATTTTAATATTAGATATTAGCATTGAGAAAAAGACAACATAGTATATAATAATAAGTGATCAAAATTCAGGATTACTATCCAGCAAATTTCTAAGACCCAGTTTAAGCATGAACTGAATGTAATGATTATACAATAAATATATAATAACACTCATTTCTTCGAAAAATGTTGTGTTTTACAGCTCCTTTCTGGTATAAAATTTTCAGTATAGAAATCAAACAAAAATAAATATTTAATTTGCAAATAATTAATAGTATTAAAATTGGAATTTTAAACAGCACTAGAATTTGGAAAACAATTTTTAAAGTATTTTCAAACTTAACCATTTCATTAATAAGGAATTACATGAACACCATAGTTTTTATATTTTGTGTGAGTTAACATATGTCCTCTTAACACATACTGACGAGTAAATGTTTTAGGGCATAGCCTACACTTAAAAGGACGTTCACCGGAATGTTTCATCATGTGTCTTTGTAATGATTGTTTAGTAGTAAACTGCTTATTACACATTGCACAGTGAAATGGACGTTCTCCAGTATGAGTACGCATATGTACTTTAATGTTTGAGTTAAAGTTTGAAGAATAAGGACAGTAAGGACAAGCAAATATCTTATCAAACCCAACTGACATCATTTCAAAAGATTCATTATCTTCATTATAACCGGAACCTGTAAGAAATTATTCATTTGATTTAACGAAAATAGATGAAATGTCATTGATAATAATAAATGTCATCATTAATGTCAATGTCATTGATAACAATAAATTTCATCATTCTTAATACAAATTATTCCATCATTTTTATTAAAATATATATATATATATTTTAAAAAAGTTCACATTTATTTAGAAAATGAAAAAAATTGCATTTATCATTTAACATAAATGTTGTACAAAAAATTTCTTAAAAGCTTGATTTTTCAAATTAAAAAATCTCTTTTGATTAAATAGATTTTTCCCAATTAATGGAACTTCATCTTAATAACTTTAAATTCATATAGAATAGCAAACTAGATCATTTTCATATTTTACAACAAATAGAAAACATTAAATTACAATTTAAATTATTCTCTAGAGATAATAAACAGTTACTTAAAATGTAATAAATAATCGAGAATCTAAGAAAAAATATTTAATAAAGGTAAGAAAAAAATTTATTAAAAAAAAGACTACATAAATATAATAAGAAATTATTACTTTTACTATCAGCATTGTAATTTAAAACTAAAATATGTCTTAATCTAATGTACTATCTAAATAAAAATATAAATCTTATGTTACATTTTAAAACAGAATTTTAAGGTTAAAAAAGTAAAAATACTATAAGTTCTAGATAAAGATATAACAATTGAATCATATTGTATAAGGAAGATTTTCTCAGGACCTACATAACTACTAAGTAACCTTTACTTGGTTATCAGAAAAAACATTAAAAATATTATTAATGAAAACATAAAGCAATAAATAATAAAGTATCTAGTTTGCATCAAATGTTGTAATTCAGTTTATATCAATTAACTATTTAAATACATTCATATTTATCTTTATAAATAAGAAATTACAATACACAATTAAATCACATTATTAAACTTAACATAAATGTGAAAATGTTTTTCTTTTTTACATGAAAATACAAGTAAAATGAAAAGACAAAGTAAATACAAATCAATTTTAAACATGATAGGATTTTGATAATTAAAACCCAAAGGTTATATAAGGCTTATAATTGTTTAGTAATTCTATCTTGTGTAAAATTGAAAATTTTAAAGGTAATCTTTATTAAGTAAATAATATTTTATAAGCTGACTTTTTTCAGTTCCTAAACATTATTTATGCATTAAAAATGTTTTTCATAGGTGGTTTAAAGGAAAGCTCTTTCACAAAATGTTTAAAAAGCTCTTTTTTCTAATTAACCAATTAAAACTAAAACAAATAAATAAATGCATCAAGTTTACTTAACATCAAATGTCAGGATTTGTTTTGCAGCAGTCATTAATTATTTTATACAATAAAATTTAACTTTATAAGAAAAATATATTAAATCTGCATTTAACGTGAATTGTAAATAAATTATTTCATTAGAAATACTTTTAAACATTAGGATAGAAAAATGTGCTTCGTTTTAATAAAAGTTTAAAGAAAAGCCTTTATTTCAAGTTTTCAAATCTTTTTTTTCTTGTTATAATGTTAGATAACAAATTAATAAGTAAAATCTCTTAAAAATATAATTATGCAGCTAATATTTAAAGTTTCAATTGAAATTTCTAATCAGTACATAATATTGTGGTAAGCTATTCTACGATTCTTCTTAAAATGGGAAACGTTTACAATAAGCGTTTACATTGAGCCGTTTTCCAAATATTCATAAAATCATTTGAGGAATATAGTAGCCTCTAACATAAGTGAAAGCAACTTAATAATTATAACAGTCTCAAAAAATCTCACTTTCTGCATTATCAGAAGAATCATCATTTAGATAAGAAAAGAAAAAAAAGAGTAAAACTCTTTATAAAGTATAATAAGCAATGGTGGGCAATCTTCACTTTGTTTAAAATAATGTTTCCCAAACAAATGTACGCAATTTTTTTATTTAAAAAAAAAAAAAAAAAAGATGCATATAATCAAATAAAGATGTAATTTTAAAAAAACTATTCATCTGAAGCAAAAGCTCACAATTATTGAATGCATTTTTAAAAAAAATTAAGCATCTAAATAATAAAATCAAAAGAAATTAGCTATTTTGTGAATCTTAATTGATTTCAACTTAATTATAGTAGAAATGAAAAAAATTAAAATCAAATAAGCATTTGCTTTTCATGTATACGTTTTTAATTCTTTCATTTTTTCCAGTACAAAATCAGTTATATTAATTTTCTAAATCAAATTCACAGCTCAATTTTCACTTTTATAAATAAATCTGGAACAGCTTTTTTTATAGTAGACCAAATATAAAAGTATAACTTCAAATGTAAAGAAAACCGATCTATTGCATTTTAAAAAAGGAAGGGAAAAAAAATTTTGTTTTCAAATCTTATTCTTTCTTGTTTTATAAGTATTATGAATTCGTAAGTTTTTCATTCACATGTCATATTCGCAAAAATTTAACAATTTGTAAATAGACGACAAAGGAAACGATTTTCTATGACACTGAAGTTAAGAAAACTACGATTGAATAGAATCATCAGTTAATTTTAAATCATTGAATTGAATTGGAATATGGACGACAAATTCATCAAAGCAGACGCATTATTTATTTTTTAATTGTTAATTTGGAGTGTAGATAATTATAACTCAGCATTATATATATAGAGTATTCTTGCTTTTAACTTTCTATGTGTTTAAAAAGAAGAATGCGGTTCAGAACTAACTGTGAAAAGCTGTTTTTTTATAAAGTTACTTATCTGGCAATGCATTTTCACTTTTAAATTCGTTTTTTGTTTCTCTTTTTCCTTGTTTAGTAATGTTTTCTGTCACCTGTCGCAACATGTTTTTACGTTATTTTTTCTCTTTATAACTAATATTTTTTTAAGGAAAAAATTATATATAATTTATATATTACCACTGCAGATTATTTTTTTTTTGTACTAGTATTAATACTTATTTCAAAGATTATTTAACTTATGGAATAAGAAGTTTGTAATCTGTGTTTTGTTGAATTTATTTTAAAAGAATTATTTGTACGACTTTATTGTTTGTTAGAGTGGTATAGTGACGTATGAAAAGTTTTCTTATGCTTTAAAATGAAGGCATCGCATTTGTTTCATGCAATTGTTATGAGCTATTTACTTTGTGCTAACTGTACTGAAATTGATTTAAGTCTTTCGGAAAAGTTTAAAGAAGGAGAGAACCATTACAACAATTTAGTTGGTAAAGTAGCGCCTTACGGTGAATGCTGGAAAGCAGCATTACAAGAACTACATTTGGGGTGTAAGCATTTAACAGAAGATGTTCAAAGCCGTTTAGCTCTATCATTCGCCAATTGTTTTTTAAAACACTCTCTAACTATAGAATGTTTTTGTCCTAAATATTCTCACATTTCAGATTGTTTGATAAAATGTCCGAAAGAAGTCTTTCCTACGTACAGAGAATTTTTCACTCATACTCAAAGTATTTGTCATTACTTGCAGCATAGGGAATGGCAAGAACAGACTGAGAAAACTGTGATATTATTAACAGAAAGTGCTGATAGTGTTAGCAAGAAGTTAGATGCATCAAGTGAGTCCCAATCAAAGATAATTAATTTACAGCAAATTTCTTTGCAAGAACAGCAAAAGCTAATTACAAATGGTAAAACTTTAAGTTCTGAACTTCAAATATCTAGAAGTCATGCTAGAGAACTTTTTGAAGATTTTAAGTCAACAACTAAGGAACATCGTCATCTGATTTTCGAAATATTTGATCGTATAAAAGCCTTACAAAGTTTTGTTTTAGGAGAATTTACTAACGTATTTACAATTGCATATTATATTGTTGGAATAATTATGATTTATATTTTAACATCTGTTCATCGTACAGCAAACGCTAGAATTTGGTTGTTGATTATTTTATCAGCAAATGCAGTGTTTGAAAAGATATTAGCTTCTTATTCTTTAGATGAAGAATTAACCAAATTATTGCCTTTAGATGTAAATGTAAGCCTATTTTTTTTAAAAATACCATTTAATTGCTGATTGCTCATATTTTGTAAAGAGTGATTTTTTCTTTATTAAGTGCATGTTCAAAGTACTGAAGAAAAAAAAGATCCCAAATGGAAAAACTATAAATGCAATTTTAAAAAAATAAAACATTATTAACATTTTAAGATAAATTACTAAAAAATCCAGGGGTTCATAAAATGGGAATTGCTGGTGCACTTGCACTTTTTTGGTTGAAAAAGTCTTGTGGTTAGATAATTTTGTGAAATCTTTACTGAATCTGCCATCTTGATCTTATATTGTATCACACACACAGTGATTCCGCTTACTTTGTTATGGCAGAAAAATTGCAGAGTTGATATGGGGAGAAAAAAAAACTGAAATGTGTAATTCTCCATGGCAAAAAAAAAATTTCACTTTGGCTAAATTAATTCTATTCTAAAGCAAAGAAGAAAAATCATTCCTGGTATAACGGAAGAAGAGAATGAAAATAATTTTGAGTATCAAATTTGCTACTTTTTTTTAATAATAGTGAACCTTCAAGGGACCGACATTTCAGTTCACTATATCCGTTACGCAGGCAATTTCACTAATGGTTCCCAAACTCCTCCCTTTTATTATTTTATATTCATATAAATGACTGAAAAATATTATGTAGTAGCAAAAAATATGGTCTTGCATACAAAAAAATTTTGGTAATCTTTAGCAGATAAGCAATCCTCAACATCAGATCTGGAAACACTTCCCGACTCTCAGATAATTTTTCCTGAATTTCTGTTATTCCGCTTTTTAAACCTGTCTAACCTGCCATTCGAGCACATAAAAGTAGTTTCTATAGATGGTTTTAAAAATCGGTATATGTATTTATTTTGAAGTAGAAATTTCAAAATTATTACAAAGAAAATGGGGGGGGGAATCAGGTGAAGACAGAAAGAAGTTCATTATATCCAACTTCCTCACTTTTTTGGTTCACTATATCCACTAAAAATAACATTATACGTGCATAGCAAGGCACGGGACCAAACATTTCGTTCACTATATCCGGGAGTTCACTATAGCGGGGTTTGACTGTATTACTGTCAAAATCAGACCTAATTAAGACAATTTATTTCAAATATGATTCCTTTCTTTATCACTAAAGGAAATCTTTACTAATGTGCATGATAATAGATGGATAAAAAGGTAAAGAATGTATTGCTTGCTTAATATCACTTTTCATTTTGCAGACTTGATTGAATTGTAATGAGTGATCTGTATTATTTTAAATGGGGGGGCCGTTTTAGAGGGGGGGAAGGAAATTTAAATGTTTCATTCATTGACATATTTTGGCTAGATCCGAATTCAATTCTTATTCAAATTTCTCAATCAAAGACAATATAGAAATTTATAAAAAGTCAGATCACCATGACAAATATGTTACTTCATTATTATTTGATTATCTTGTACAATGAATTAAAACAAAATTATCAACAAAAAAATTTCAGAGAATTGTTTTTATAATTAATTTAAATAAAATCTCTTGTTGCTAAATCTTGTAAAAATGATTTAGATACTCAATTGTCCAGTGTACTCTGGGCTAGAATTGTTTATAATACAATTGTGAATTATCAGTTCAATCTAAAATTAAATTTTATTTCAGTTATCAAACAACTACGATAAAATTACATGTATATATTTTAAATTCAATAATTGCATTACTTTTTGGTATTCATAATTAATGTTTTAATTTTACAGGGCCCTGTGTTTGTTAAAATTTGGGTTTGCAGAAAGATCACATCTGTTATTGCACTTGGTGTTTTGCTGTATTTTTATTATACTTTTGAAGACTATAATATGATAAATAATAAATTATTGAAAGAGATTCAACAACAAAATGCAGATATACAAGTGCTTCTTCAAAGTAAGCAGACATTTCTTTTAATTTTTAAGCTAATTTATGTATTGTAATTTTTATACATGTTACACTGTTCACACATATTTATTTTATTATTAAATTATTTTAATGCTGGATTTTCAGGTGAAAATTTCTGCTAACTTTCTAATTTGTTTTCATATTTTTAGCCAGTATTATCTTTTAAAAGATTTATCTTGTACTTGTATGCGTACTGTTTGAAATCTCCTCCTTTTTTGAGGTAGTGCACAAAGAAATAATGGCATGAATTGAAAACTGTCAACTAACATTTCTTTCTTTGTTTTATATATTTAGCCAATTTTTTATGCTGTGTAGAGACTTCTAGCTGAGATGATTTCTTTAGGGTGAAAAGCAAAAACTGGCATAAATTAAAAACTATCAAAACCTAAAATGTGAGTTGAGATTGAGAAAAATCATAGGGTGTGTAGTATTTTTAAAAAGTGCTTAAAGGTACATATATTTTTATATATGTTTTTTAAAAGCCATTTTAATGGCTTTTAAAAAACATATAAAGGTCCTTTTTTTCATTAGATGATTTTAAAAAGTGCTGAATTTTTCCTTTTCTAAAATGAGATATTTTTCTTTACCATGTCGATTTTCGCCCCAGATTGTGCAAAAAGTGTGGTTTTTACACTGTTCTATTCAAAGTTTACAGTATTTATTCAACCAAATTCCATTTCGGCGTACCTGGGTTCCATATCGCATAAAAGCGCTGATCATCTTTGATGAAATACTTGCGTCTCCGCATGTGCACGTACTGAGCTGATTTCAGTAGGAAGGATTCTTGCATACTGATATGCAACTCTGCTGCATTTTGCAAGAGATTTTCAATTTCAAGCTTCAGTTATGCCTTCTGAAATCAAACAGAAAAATGCCAAATTTTCACTGATCTCGGGGATCAACTTAACATTTCCAATTTTTTTCCCCTTATAGCAAAAGAAAATTTTATTTCTCTTGTTAATTTTATTGTTGGTGAAGTCCCATCATTTTCGTCACTGGCAAGCTACTGGTCTTCTCGCACTCTTCTATTTATAGATCAGTATCTTAATCCCTGACTTGGGGATCATTCATTTATTATGTATTTCCATGAGGGTCCCCAGAGCATGCAAAAAATTATAAAGCTTCATCACCTCAAAATTTCCATCTCCCTTTTATTCATTTCATTTAATGAAGATAAGAATAATAATTTAATTTAATAAGGATAAGAATATTAATCAAACGAAATTTTACCCGAGGTACTATCCACTAATTGAATATATTTTTTTAAATTTTCATAGTACACTTTATTACTTTTTAAGTATTACTTCTTATTATTGTATTTTTACTTTTAAAATTTTCAATTGTTTTATGAAAAAAATTTATAATATTTAAATGTAAGATTTTAAAGAAGTTTGAAGTGAGAGGCTTTCACGAATTTAAATGTGGCAAAAAATCTTATTCTATTCAGATTTGTTATTCCAAAAAACTTTAGTTCATCTCTGAATATGATTTAAAAACAATTGAAAAAAAATTCAATTATCTCAGATTTGTTAAATATTATGGGTGTAGGGATTAAAAAAGATTTACTTCTGACAAAAGTGCTTAACTGCAATGCTCATTGTACTTACATTTCAAAGTTCTTTAAAAAAATTTTATCATATAATTAAAGAAATACTGATCCATGTAACCAATTTTATTTAACCAATTAAATTTATTAGGGGCAATTCACTAATTTACATTTGTAATATGAATTTACAAAAATTTTCTTAGTTTGGTTAATTCTTTACATACCTTTATAAGTTTGGTATGATCAATAATAATAATCTTGTTAATGTTTTGTTGAATCTGCTTTTATAAATAGTTTTTCTTTAAATCTAAAAAATTCACTTCATAATCTTTGAAAAAATGGATAAATTATTAATAATTTTGAATTAAATTTTTTTATATACCCAGTAAGCACACACCTCACGGCA